AGATGGTAAATGTTTCTCCAATTTTTTTCATTTGGAGTGAATTTATCAAATCTAACCTAAGACAATAGGATGAAATTTGACCTCTTAAATGCAGTCTTGACAATAAAATTTTGCCTGATAAGAGAAGGAAAAGGCTGTTCCAACTTATCAGCTCCTTGATTAGGTATTAAAAGAAATTGGAACAGCTAAAGCATACCAAAGTCATTCTGGATCTGAAGCTTCAACTTCATCATACAAGCTAAGTTTATCCTGTGGATCTTGTAAGGCAGTCTTCAGTAAAGATGAGGACATGATTCTATAGGGTAAGTCATATCAATTGCTATGTAATTTGTGACTCTTTCTATTTGGATGTTTTTTCTAGATGTTTTCCACGCAAATTTAAATGTTTTTAGATATTTTTGGATGTTTTGGATGTTTTTTTTTTTTTTTGTCAAAGAAAAGTGGCAACACTGCGCTGTTCCCACTGTATTTCCTCTCCGTCTGCGGCTGATGACGTTGGCTTGACATGAAGTGTCAATACGTCCCGCTTTCACTCTGACAGTCCTGCTTTTAGTTTAAAAAAAATTATGGTGGGGGGGGGGGGGGGGGTTGTATTCGGGAGACGGCCGGGAAAACAACCGTAAAAGTTTTACGGTGTTTTCCCCGGGCGTCTTGGACCACCTCCCCCCCCCCCCCCCCTTTTTCCCCCAACCATAAAAAAATTATAGGGTTGAGCTCGAGAAAAGATGTATTTATAGGTATGTACACACATGCAAATTAAAAGGGAACACTAGAAAACACAAAGGCTTTCGGCTGTACTGGCAAATTTGGCCGGTAAGCTGGACTGCTTCAGCCGGCTTAGCGGGGCTTAGTGGGCGTTATGTCCCTTCGCCAAACTCAAAACAAGTCGCGGAAAAAGTCACGAATCAAATGACATACTTACCTATCATCATCCGGGTGCGTGTAAGGCTGCGTAGGGTTGCGTCTAGGGTTACCTATCATCATACGGTTGCGCGTAGGGCTGCGTAGGGTGTCTATCATCATCATACGGTTGCGTGTAGGGATGCGTAGGGTGTCTATCATCATCATCATACGGTTGCGTAGGGTTTGGGTTAGCGGTAGGGTTAGGGGTGTGGGTTAGGGGTAGGGTTAGGGTTAGGGTTAGGGGGGGGTAGGGTTAGGGGTAGGGTAAGGGGAAGGGTTAGGGGGTAGGGGTAGGGGGTAGGGGTAGGGGGTAGGGTTAGATGATGTGAAAATATTCACGTAGGAGGTGGAAATACTGGCCAACAATGCTTGAGGGAGTGGCACCACTGGAAGTGTGCCAAATATGACGGCAATAGTGCGCGGCTGGTGCCCAATCGGTGGCGAATTGTCCGTGTCAGTAGCATCCACCGCCCGTCGACTGTTTGCGCGTGCATGCGACTGTGCGCGATTGTAGGGAACTACGGCATCACAATTGTCACATCTAACGCTACACCTAACCCTAAACCCTATCCCTAAACCCTAACCCTAAACCCTAACCCTAAACCTTAACCGCTTACCCTAACCCTACCCCTCATCTATCTTACGCAAACAACCAACCCTACACGCAATAAGCAGCCCTACACGCAACCGTAGGACGATGATAGACACCCTACGCAACCCTACACGCACCCGGATGATGATAGGTAAGTATGGACCGTTTTGATTCGTGACTTTTTCCGCGGCACTTGTTTTGAGTTGTTTTGAGTTTGGCCAAGGGACATAACTCCCACTAAGCCCCGCTAAGCCGGCCGAAGCAGTCCAGCTTACCGGCCAAATTTGCAGGCCCGTCTTACATTCGGTCCTTCCAATATGGCATCAGCTGCAATTTTGGAATCTTTACTTAAAATTTCCAAAGCAGCTACAATTCGAAAGGGTATCAGAAAAACGGCAGCCAATGACGGAGATGCACCAGAGGTACTTAATGCTAGAAAGAAATTTCGTGTCACCACCTTTGACACAATTGTTGACAAACTTGAATGTGTGGTGAAAAGGAGAGGAGAGATATACTAAGACTAAGCAGAGGTTTTGTTTTCTAAGTGATGTGCCATATAATGTCACTTCATTGTCTACTAAAATTGAAAATTATTCTCAGTGCTGTAAAGAGCTGACTGATGACCACACAGAGGTCTTCAACAGTAATTTCTCACAACAATTTTTATTCATATGTGTGCTACAATTTCAGTGCAAAAAAAAAAAAAAAGGAAAACAACAATACTTAGTCATGCTAAACTTTATACAATAATTTGAGTGTGCTTTTCCAAATGCAGACACTGACTTTCATATACGTTGTTTGTTTGTTTGTTTTAGTATCCAGAAGCCATGAGTTGTTAACCCTTAGGCTCGGTATTATGGATATCGCAACCTTTCGGCCTTGATTCCATTGTAAATTCCGTAAATCTGGGAGAAAATGTGGCTTTCCTGCCTACCCCCGGGATTGAAGCCGGACCACAAGAAGTTCGTCACCCGGTCTCCGCGCAATCCGGTTTAGCCAACTACGCTAGAGAGCCGGGTTTCATATACGTTTAACATCACTAGATACGAGCTGCTCAGTTGAGCATTTGTTTTCCCAGCTGACTTATATTAACAATTGCATCAGAACAACCATGCTGCAAGGCAGGCTGGATGACTTATCTCTATTAAAAATAGAAGCAGATGTGTTATATAAGATAAATTTTTGTTATAGATCAGGGACTTTGCAAATTTTTTTTAAAGAGGGGGGAGGGGGGTGGAGAGAAAACTTCACATATAACTAAAGTGCAAATCTACAAAAATAAACATTTCTTTTCCATGTAATTACAGTTTTTTTTTAAATGTCAATAAATTAAATTGCATTTTATGGTTTATTATTGTTCATATTTTGAATTCAATATATAAAATGGCACCAAAATCTTGTCAGTACTTAGGGCCTCTCAGGATCTTAACCTGTCCCTGCATACATCAACATGTCTTGGACAGCACGGCTCCTGTAACTCTTGTCAATGTAATGAACTGATGCTTGATTCTGATTTACACGTGCTGGCATCAAGGCTGCTGCTACAGCTCCTAGAACTTACTCTTGCAAGACATGGAAATTGAAACATACTGGATCAGTTTAAGAATGTGTGTTCTCTTGAGCAAAGAACTGGCAGGCACTTGAGACAGATCTGTCAGTAGGGAAATGACAATGATTCTGGTCTGACCAAGTTACTTGCTACAATTCCTTGTCAACAATTACTCCTCCTGGCAAAGCTGAAGGCGGGTGATGGCATTAATTTTAATGCAAGGTTATCAAGTTTAGAAAAAATTAAAGTAAAAGGAAAGGACACTTTTTGCGCACATACAGGCATATTGGGAAAACCCAGTATTTGATAGATACTAGGTGGGTGATGTAGTCAACATTACGATCTTTAGTTCCCTGGATTTTACCTGGTACATTTAAATCTGGGTCAACCTGGGAGTAAGGTGTCTGAAGAAAGAAAAAGTCCTGCAACGTTGAGATTTGAACCCAAGACCTTCAGATCCACAGCCAAGCAACTAGCTACTACACCAAGGCAGCTCTACACTTAAGAAATAACCTCTATGTAAAAACCATGATGTGTAAGCTACAGAGAGGATGTGGTCAGTGTGTGCCAGATTTTCTTACTGCTCTCTAACCAAGTGAATTATTAGGAGAACATACTATATGATGGAAAAGAGCTCCTCACACATCATGCCTAGATTGTGGCAGAAAGATTTGAAAATTAGCTAGTCTACTCCACTAACACATCTCCAAACATTAGTGAAGTTAACAGTGGTGGAGAAAACTTCTCTTTTAGTGATATCTGGTCATGTGCTTAATCCATTAGGGGCCATAAACTGGGATTTCAGCTCAAGGTCTCTTAGGTGATCCAAAGCTTAGCTGTCAGGTTTACTGTGTGTGGCCACATGTTACTTTGCAGCTACTCCAGTCAAGGATAGTTTTGCAAGTCATGTTCTGTGGTCTGTTCAGCATAAAGACACTGGCAGAGGGCTGTTTTGCTGATATTTAATTCAGAAGAGTGTTTGTTGAGTTTGCAATGCCCAGTGCTATCAATGTCAAACATGGACACTGTCTTCAGAAATAAGGAAAATAGTCACAACAGAAATGAAATGTTTACATACTATGCTAGGTGTAACGAGGAAAGATTGACTTAGGAACAATGAAATCAGGAGGATAGTCGGCACAGAACCAATACTGAACTTTATAGGTATACAACAAATCAAATGGTTTGGCCATATAACAAGTTTGGCATCAGACAGGGCACCACAGAGAGCAATGCTGTACAGATACAATGTGAACACAGCCAGAGGCTGACCACATAGAAGATGGACTGCAGAAATATGAAAGACACTGAACATTTATATGAAGCAAACAGAAGGGCCAGTTCTTCCTGCCCTGATGCCAAGAGGCATTCCAGGAGTAGGAAAAAAAAAGAAGAAGTAAGTGAAAAATGATGACTTTCTCTGTCTGTTCACAGTGCTGAGAAAAATTTTTGAGTGGCTGTATCCAGATTGATTGCACTATCTGTTATTGCTGAAGGCAGTGAAAGTATAAGAACTGTCTCATGTGATGAAGACAGAGCTAGTTAGTTAGTCTGTCTAGGTTCTAATATTCCTGCAGATGTGTCGCCCCATAACTTCTTTGTTCCTGTGCCAATGGAAATCACACAAACTGTTCTTCATTGGCCCATTTAAAAACTAGCCAAACACTTGTCAGTCCCAGTAAAATCTTGAAGCTTGCACATGCAAAGTAAAAATGCATAAGGCAAGATTCGCCAACACTGACAGTTCCATGTCAGAATTGCAGCTCACTGTCCGCATAATCAGTAAATCATGAAAACCAACTTGCCACATGCTCTTCTGAGCATACTCATCACCAGCCACTCTAGTGTATCCATAGCACACAGTAAGCACAACAGAAAAAATGTTCTTCAGCAAGCAATGGAAGTATAGTCCACCTATTACTGCCTGAGAATACCTTCTATTACATCTGCCCATTGCTACCTTCTACTAGAGTCATCCCTGAAGTTATAATTGCGAATTTTTGGCTTGGGTTTGACTTGTTTCTTCAACTTCTCAGGGTAGTCTATGCCAGATTTGTGTAAACTCTGCTCTTTTCTGGATCTGGCTTCTGCTGGAGCAGACTGACCTTGAAGATAAAAATGATCACCTCCATCTGACCTTGTGATGTGTTTAGTTCCAGATTCCTGATCTGAAGGGAGATAAACAAAACAAGAAATAACAATAGTAATTATTGCTCTTCAAGTGAATACAGAACTGTAGCTTCTCTATTGCTTATACCTTTACAGTCTTTAACCCTTTCACCCCTGTGATCTAGAAAGAAAAATGCCAAGACCCTGTAATTTTAGATTTTCTGGTTTTCCCGAAAAAATATTCCTTTTAATAAGACAACCATATTTCATAGTTCACCACTAAAAATTAATAGAAATTCAAACTAGGTTAAAACTTTTTGAAAATAAATACATTTAACATAATGACTTATTTCTGACGCTGTGACCCAGCCGCTAGAGACCAATGTGACTAAAGGGAAATGATGACATCATGATTTCTATAAATAACGCCAGTGTATCATAAGAAAACACTCATAAATGTTATTGTTAGTAACTTTAGCCAGTGATGGACCTATTAAACATTTGCACATGAACAAACAGAGTTATGAGTTAGATTATCGTAACAGCACTCCGGACACATCCATATTCATCAGCATTGTGCGGTTGATAGTGCCAGTCCTATGTTGGCTAACAAGACTTTGTGTGCATCCAGTTTGCTTCTCATGCTTGGCTGTGCCAATCTTTACTCCCTTTTTGGAGCAAACAGGAATCAGTGCTCTTAGCGAGGATTTTTGTAAACAAGTCAGGTAAGCGACATTTATGAGAGGCATGGCACATAATGAAAGTGTCAGTTTTGCTACTTCCCTGGGACTGAAAGAGTTTTGAGTACAATACTAATTTTCCTTCTAATTTTCCATGGATGACTTTACCTGGCCAACATCTTGCATCAAAAACATTTACTCTGTAGAAAGTGAACTTGACAGTTCCTCCTATTCTGCTATCACCCTTAAATGGGTAGTTAGTTCACTGTATTGTAATTTGCAGCTGGGCTGTGATATTTGCGTTTTTTGGGTCCAACACATCCAAATTCAGCAAAACCCTAATCTGTAGCATTTTATGTCTTGCTTGTGCACCGAGTCTATTCTCTGCTCCCCCCCCCCCCCCCCCCCCCCCCCGCCAACCTATTTTACTTCCCAGATATTTTCCTCATGTCTATTTAAGTCATTTCTAAAGAAAAAAAAGTTAGGCTTTTTCAGGACCTGAATCTTCGGATCGCAGGCAAGTGTCTAACCGCTACAACATGGCGGCTCCCACAAAGTGTAGCTAGTTACTACCACACACACAAAATCTAATCCTAAAAACTATCAGAATTTGTAACCTGATGGTTTCCGCTGGCCTGGCAAAATGCTGCGAGCTGATCTTGGAGAAGATGGGCCGATGCTGGAACTTGACTCTAGCATCTGCCAAACTTGCTGGATAGAGTCACCTCCCCCTGAAGAAAAACTGACCATCATTTCTGAATCTTGGTTGTTGAATGTGGACTGGGCACTGATGCCAACACCCACATCTCCTGGCTGGACACCGGTGGCTGGCCGTCTGTATCTCATACTAGACCCTTTAATATAATGTTGTACATTAATATACTGTCAGAGGTACTATACAAATAAATTAATACTTATTGGTGTTTATATATCTCTCATACAGTACACTGAAATGTAATGTTGTACATCTATATACTGTCATAGATACAATACAAACAAATTAATACATTATTATTTATCTAATCTATCCAATGACAGGCACCCAAAAACATACACATTTGTTCTTCTTAAACTATCGTGCCAATTGGAATAGGTGGTAGTAAAAAACATTTTTTCAATGTGCTGACTCATCTTTGTTCTTTATTGTTATCTTTTAATGGCATCACAGCTTCTTTTTTCAATGCTGTCTTCTCTCTGCTCTTCCTGGTCTTACCAATTCTGTCTTATGGCTTGCCCCCGTCTCTCTGTGTATCTATTATAATATATATGTGTGTGTGTGTGCATGCGTGTGTATGTATACTATATATGTGTGTGTGTGTATATATATATACACACACAAACAAACATATATATATATGTACAGTGATTATTCTGTTTAAATATCATCCCAGGTCATTGCAGTATCAAGTTCAAGTAACTTTTTAGTCTGGGGGTAACAAATGCCAACCCCAACAACAGGCAGAAAACGCCACCAACAAGGTCAACTGTTGAAACTTCTACATTTGAGAACACGTCGTTGACAGGCAACATCAATATGATTATTCAATAATTCTCCACAGATATAATGTGTGACCAAGAAATGAATATGTTACGATCACTGCACTTAACGACGGTAGGATCATTCCTTTCCTACAACATGGAGCTCAGAGCATGTGCTCTCCCACGAACTGCGGCATCAGGACATAGAAATACAAGCCTTTGCCCTTCCTACCGTCTGTCCAATTCTTCTGTCGACAAGTGTCTCGTCATATCACATGTCCATTAGCGGTTGGCCCTAGTGTCAATCTTCGGATTGCACACAACAATATATATAAACATATATAAACTTATATATATATATATATATATATATATATGATGCAGGCAGGAGGCAGACAGGTTGACAGGCAGACAGGTTGACAGGCAGACAGGTTGACAGGCAGACAGATGTAGTGGAGAGCAAGGATCCTTCTCTTTGACTGTTACCTTGGTGTAAAGATTTGTCTCACTAGACAGCATTGGGAAAATAACTTATAATGATACTGAATAAACAGAATCTACCACTACTGGAACCATTGGGTCAAAGAAAATAACTTATAATGATACTGAATAAACAGAATGTACCACTACTGGAACCAATGGGTCAAAGAAAATAACATATAATGATACTGAATAAACAGAATCTACCACTACTGGAACCAATGGGTCAAAGAAAATAACTTATAATGATACTGAATAAACAGAATCTACCACTACTGGAACCAATGGGTCAAAGAAAATAACTTATAATGATACTGAATAAACAGAATCTACCACTACTGGAACCAATGGGTCAAAGAAAAAAACTTATAATGATACTGAATAAACAGAATGTACCACTACTGGAACCAATGGGTCAAAGAAAAAAACTTATAATGATACTGAATAAACAGAATCTACCACTACTGGAACCAATGGGTCAAAGAAAATAACTTATAATGATACTGAATAAACAGAATGTACCACTACTGGAACCAATGGGTCAAAGAAAATAACTTATAATGATACTGAATAAACAGAATGTACCACTACTGGAACCAATGGGTCAAAGAAAATAACTTATAATGATACTGAATAAACAGAATGTACCACTACTGGAACCAATGGGTCAAAGAAAAAAACTTATAATGATACTGAATAAACAGAATGTACCACTACTGGAACCAATGGGTCAAAGAAAAAAACTTATAATGATACTGAATAAACAGAATCTACCACTACTGGAACCAATGGGTCAAAGAAAAAAACTTATAATGATACTGAATAAACAGAATGTACCACTACTGGAACCAATGGGTCAAAGAAAATAACTTATAATGATACTGAATAAACAGAATGAACCACTACTGGAACCAATGGGTCAAAGAAAATAACTTATAATGATACTGAATAAACAGAATGTACCACTACTGGAACCAATGGGTCAAAGAAAAAAACTTATAATGATACTGAATAAACAGAATCTACCACTACTGGAACCAATGGGTCAAAGAAAAAAACTTATAATGATACTGAATAAACAGAATGTACCACTACTGGAACCAATGGGTCAAAGAAAATAACTTATAATGATACTGAATAAACAGAATGTACCACTACTGGAACCAATGGGTCAAAGAAAAAAACTTATAATGATACTGAATAAACAGAATGTACCACTACTGGAACCAATGGGTCAAAGAAAATAACTTATAATGATACTGAATAAACAGAATCTACCACTACTGGAACCAATGGGTCAAAGAAAATAACTTATAATGATACTGAATAAACAGAATGTACCACTACTGGAACCAATGGGTCAAAGAAAATAACTTATAATGATACTGAATAAACAGAATCTACCACTACTGGAACCAATGGGTCAAAGAAAATAACTTATAATGATACTGAATAAACAGAATCTACCACTACTGGAACCAATGGGTCAAAGAAAAAAACTTATAATGATACTGAATAAACAGAATGTACCACTACTGGAACCAATGGGTCAAAGAAAATAACATAATGATACTGAATAAACAGAATGTACCACTACTGGAACCAATGGGTCAAAGAAAATAACTTATAATGATACTGAATAAACAGAATCTACCACTACTGGAACCAATGGGTCAAAGAAAACAAGAGAACAAAAGGAACACAGAACAGTAAATCACAGGCAGACAGGAAGAAGATGGGGAAGACATGGTGTGAACTGTACCAGACTGCAAAGGATAAGATGATTTAAAAAATGATTTAGGAAAAGTTGGTTGAAGGTATATGCTCAATCTGAAAATCTTTAAAGGAAAGATAAAGAGAATGAGAACAAATCAGACAAATAGCAGTGTGGTTTCTCTTAATGTTATCCCACTTTGAGACGTGGAGTCGTACCCTATTGGCAGTAATGTAGAAAAAGATGTGGAAACTGCCCAGATATTAAAATATGCATACAAAAGGCAAGAGGATCTATCTTTCATAGCACTAGGAAATTTGTAGAGGTCAAAAGAAATTAAAACTATTACTAAACTAAAAAATTGTAATTCTAATGTCAATGCAGTACTGTTGTATGGAGCAGAAATATAGAGATCAACTAAGGCAATTAATAATTAACTACAAACATTCATTAAACTAGTCCCTGCACAGAACAGAGGGAATTAAATGGTATGACAGAATCACTAATGTAGAGCTTTGGGAGAGAACTAAACAAGTTCCAGTGGATCATGAGGTGAAGACAAAAAGCTGGACACATGTTGAGAAAACCTGAGAACAGTATAACTAGAATATCTTTGCATTGGAACCCACATGGGCATACAAATAAAGGAAGACCAAAAATCACATGGAGAAGGGAGCCAGAGAGCAATGTGGAAAAGATGGGGAGGACATGGGGAGACCTGCATGTGACAGCCAAGGATAGAACTTGGAGTGAGGTGGTTGAAGGTCTATGCTCCATTGGGGGTTAGAAAGGCAGAAGAATATGCTCCATTGGGAGATAAACAGAGTCTGCTATGAATGTAAGGTCCAGTGTGTGAGTGCATGTCTCTGCCACACAGTCAACAGAAAAATGTTGATACTTTATTACTAAGACTAGTTTTCTCTCGTCTATAGGATGCTTCATTTGGTCTCTGCGACTGTGACAGGCCACAGGGAGACAGAGACAGAGATGTAGAAACTTACCTGAAGTGTCTCTCTCAGGCACATCATCAGGCAAACTGTCCGCAGGTTGCAAGGAAACTCCTCTGGTCCTTGTCTGGACTCTCTGAGCAAACTTGAGCTCCTGTTTATGGAAAAGATACACACAATCAAACGCTGGTGTGACACCAGACCATTTACGGGTTGTATATTCGCAGCGAGGCACAAGAAAAGTCATTACTGATTCTTTTGATGGAAATGTGGTGTATGGACATTATAATTGGTGCCATTCCACAAATACTTTCACAAGGGCAATGAAATTTATAATCAGAAGTGTAAATCAGGACCTGGGAAGTAAAGGTGGCCAGTATGATGCTGATCACATTATCTATCAAGTGCTGATTGGTCCATAAAAATATAACTCTAGCACTAGATGTACAACCAACAGGAAACAGGTCCTTTATTTGTAAATGGATCAATAATGGCAAAAGTCAATTGTGCAAAGTTGTCATCTGCACAGGAAAAGGACTAAGTTAGTTGCGTATCCTTTACAGGACGTTGCAGAACCAACCCTAACAGCCCCTGGCTGTTGTGTGGTTTCTCTAGGCAATTTACATCCAGTAGTTTGCCATTGCTTTCTGGACGTTCGGCTTTCTTGATACCACTGTCGAAACCAACGCAAGACGCATTGCCCGCAGCTGGGATCGAACCTGGCATCCCGGCATTACGAAGCGAAGCGTTCGCATCGACTTAGCCACAGAGCCGACAGGAAAAGGACATAACAATGAAAACAGACATCAATTCAACAAACACAACAATAACAAAGTTGTACACTGAGAGCCAAAAAAAAAAGTGCCAAACCTGTCTAGTAAGTTGGTACTGCAGCTTCTCCAGCTGCTCAAGTCTGTCTTGTGTTACTGCAGTCTTTGAATCATCAGCTTTCTCTGTAGTTCCATCAGACCTTTGCTTGTCCCTCACAAACATCTCTGACTTTGAAGGAACTCCTGCATCAGATGCTGTCTTCTCTGAGACTGTACAAAGTAAAAAATAAAAAAAAGTGCACACTGTATATGTGAACATAAAGCAACATGTGCGTTTAAGAAAAATATAATTCCAAGACAGGTAGCAAGGTAAAGGACCCTTTTCTATGCCTTAAGGCTCTGGACATTATAGAACAATCAGCACTTGAATGATGATGTGGTTAACATCATGCAGGCCGCCTTTACTTTCCAGGACTTCACCTGGTGCCCGTTAAGGCTGGATCAGCATGGTAACACATGTAATTTTTTTAAAGTATGACTCCATTTAGAAGGGAGGTACTGCTGCAAGTTAAAAAGAACAAGTAAAAAAATTACCTCAGCCCCTCTATAATACAATTCCCACCCCAATGTGCGATGCAATTTTCGTTATTTTAAAGCCCCACCCCGGCTGTAGTGGGGGGTTCTAATATAACCTAAATGTTAAACGGGCTTCTCGGGATGTGCTTGGGGGATTCTTATCCGAATAGTGGTACTTTGTGTCAGCAGATGTTGGCCCTGGTGGGGTTGAACGATGCACAAGGAACCCTTGAACCCACATGAGACAACTGCAGACTAAGCTTCAGTTGCTAATGTGGCTCATTTTGAACTGCTAAGAAGAGGAGGAAAATAAAAGTGGACAGAGAGGAAAAAAGGAAAGAAAGAAATGATGAAAGTTGGAAATAAAAAGGAAAGAAAGAAATGATGAAAGCTGGAAATAGAGAGGGAAAATGGAAAGAAAGAAATTTGGAAATAGAGAGGAAAAAAGGAAAGAAAGAAATTATGAAAGTTGGAAATAAAGAGGAAAACAGGAAAGAAAGAAATGATGAAAGTTGGAAATGAAGAGGAAAATAAATGAAGCAAGAAGGACAACTATTTTCATCATGAAACAACCCAAAACCAACACCAGCACAGACCTGTAGATTTGAGTTGCGCCCGAAGCCTGTTGTTGGACTCTGTGAGCTGCTGGTTCTCTCTCGCCAGCTGAATGATTCTAGCAGCTGCCATCTTGAGTTTATGTCTCACGTCTGAAGAACTGGCACTGCCATCATCCAGGCTGGCAAACTTACTTCCGATGTTATTCAAGTCAGAGATGTCAAAGGCTGTAGCTCGCTTCCTTAACTGTGCCAGTTCATCCTGCAACTGCTGGATGTAAAGCTCCTAAAGAAAAACAGTTTATACGTATTTATTGGAAATATGGCCCATTCTGTGAGATGTGGTGTTATTCCGGGGTGTGGAGAGCTGGACAGAAAAATTATTCTGAAAAAAAGAAAATACTGAGCCAATTACTGAAAGGAACATACCATTCCCCCCCCCCCCCCCCCCCCCCCCCCCCCCCCCCCCCCCTCCAACATCCCATCCGGTTCCATTTTGGGGGCAAAAATAACAGATCCACTGACTCTTAACAAGCATGAGGTGAACAAATGACTAATTAACCCTGATACTCTGGAGTCCTAGAAGGAAAAAAAAAACTGCTGAGATACCATAACTCCCACATTTCAGGTATTCACAAAATAAAATCCTCTAAAAAAAATGTGTATAACTATTTTACATATACCACAAGAACAATTGCTAAAATACAATTTACAAATACCATACAGATGAAAGGGAATGAATGTAGTAGAGAACTGACTCACTTTCATCTCTTTGAGCCTTGAATAACAATTACAGCACAAAAATTACTTGAGTACTTTCTATAAATAAAGCAATTTTTCACAAGGAAACTCCTTTACATGCTATTTTTAGTAAATGTAATAGTTCCCAGTCCTGCAAAAAGTTGTGCAGGTGCTAAAGAAATTGAATCTGTTAGCTATGCTCTAAAGGGGAAATGGCACTAGCAGGAGGTGTCAAGGCAACATTCTTAAGGATCTATGAGTTCTGGTCTGTTGGCCAAACTGCAATCATAGCCTTCCTTTAAACCACAATACAACATGGCAATGGCTCAATAATGGCAAATACCAAAGAAGAAAAAGTAAAGTATTTTTTTTAAATTGATATGAAGTAGGGTCAATATGAGACAGGAGATTCCAGTCCTACCATCCATGCTTAAAACATAAATATCTACTAACCATGCTACTTCAACTCAGTTCTAGAGATTCACAAAACATTTATGTCTGTAAAATTCCATCAGTGATACAGATTCATAAAGTTCACACAAAATTTATGTCTGCTAAATCCTGTCAGTGATATACAGATTCACACAGTTCACACAACACTTAGATCTGCTAAATCCTATCAGTGATACAGCTTCACCTAACACTTAAAGTCTGTTAGATCTTATCAGAGGTACAGCTTCACACAATACTTAAGTCTGTCAAATCATATCAGTGATATAGGTTCACACAACATTTGAGTCTGTTAAATCATATAAGTGAAAACGAATGACAGTTTACACGACAACACTGTGCTGACACTTCCGGCTGCTGCCTAAGGCATTAAAAGAGAAAATCGTTGTCTCTGCTACTGGCTTTACCAAGGCATCAGTTAATTTTTGTCACAAGGGACAGCTATGGGCATTCTGTGTGGTTGGCACAGGAGCGGAACAGCTATGGGTTGACCCATAAACTCTCAAATCCACAGAGAGCGGTGGTGGTCTAGTGGCTAGCCCCTTGTCTGCTGACCCGAAGTTCTTAGGTTGAAATCTGCATTAAGGTCAATTTTTTTCTTCAAAATTGACTTTGGCTCCAAGGTCAAGCTAGCCTAACATGGTACCAGGTAACATCCTGGATGAGACATAAAGGCAGTTGGCGTGATATTGACCCACCCAGTGCCAACTGTTGACGACATCACCCACCCTGTGACAAATGGTCTATAAAAATGAGTCCAGCACCATATGTCTGACAGGCCACTGGCACCAACACCAAAAAAGTTCCTTACGTTTTTTTTGTGTGGCAACACATTCAATTAGTTTACATAATTAAGTCTGCTTCAAATTTACAGTTTACCCAAAACACTGAAGTCTGCTAACTCCTGTCACTAATACAGTTTGGGGGCCGCGTTAGCGCAGTCGATAGGAGAAATTCAGCTGCGACTCGCTGCAGCCCACGGCCAGTGTTTGTAACCGGGCGGTTTTTGGAGTTCACCCAGCCTCTAGGTAATGACTACCAGAGTTAACACTGTGGGATAAATGGAGTAATGTCGCTGTAGCTACAGAGTTTCATGAGGACGGCGACACAGGCGTACAGTTTCTTATGAGCTGTCTGTACTGGTGGTAGAGCACTTATGGTTTATAACCGTGTGCGATGACGCCAGTTCACATCTCCTGACTTTACCTTTACCTTTTTTTACTACTACTGTTTACACAACATTCAGGTCTGTTACGCCTCTCTATCAATGCCAATGCTCAGAATGACTTACCTGTGCTCCAAAATTAATTGTTGGATTGGATTCAGAAAACTCCAACTTCAGTGCAGATAACTAGAAATAATCATACAAAACGCACGGTTAGTTCCAACACACACAAAAACCAATTAATTCATTTGTAAATTACATGCCATCAAATACACCAAGTCATTCAGACTGTGGGAGCCATGGTGGTGTAGCGGCTAGATGCTCACCTGCCGGTCCAGAGGTCTTGGATTCAAATCCACAGCAAGTTGGAATATTTTCAAAATCCACCTTGTCTTCCAGGACGACCCAGCAGAAAATGGGTTTCAGGTAGTGTCCTGGGAAGTAAAGGCAGCTGCCATGATGCTGACCACATCACCTATCAAATGCTGACTGGTCTAAAAAACATGAGTCAAGCATCAAATGTCTTTCAACACCGTTGGGGTTTCAAGCATCTAATGTTAGACTCATGATCTTCCTCTCTTGTCTATAAACTCCAGCAGAACGTTCTGGTAGCTCATCCACTTCTGGACTTTGGTCTTGTTCCACAACTTGAGTTTTGCATGCATATCATTTTTTACAGATTTGTCTAATTTGTTTGCAGACTTTTAGTTAATTGCCTGTCAGACAGATACACTCTGACTTCAAAGGAAACAACCATAATTAGTCGTCTTTTATGATTGGCTTGTTGGGTGCAGTGGGTCTGTTCTTGTTCTTCCGCCTAAGGGCCCTAGAATGCACACGGGTTTTTTGCTCAGTCAAAATAGTACAAAAGATAATGTGAGTTAAAAAAAACATGCAGCTCTTACCTGATTTCCGAGTGCTACAAGTTCCTCATTTCTCTCCAGACTGGCCCGATGATACTCATCTGCTTCTCGTCTAGCCTCTGTCAGCTGGAATTCTAACTCACTCACTCTATTTTTGAGACCAGCCACTTCAGTTTCCTGGCGACGTCTGCAACTGCTGAGTTCATAGGTTAACTGATCTATCTGGATCTGCTTCTGACGAGGCTGAGAAGAAAAGTCAGTTAAAAAAACAAATGGTTTCTCTAGTGTTTCAAGGAATCAAATAAACAAATGGTTTCTCTAGTGCTTCAAGGAATTCTGGTGGCACAGTAGTCAGTGCATTAGCTTGCAAAGACACTGACTTCGGCTTCTTCTGCATTCGCCCTTCAATGGGTCGAAGGGACATTGTGTTGAGGTTTACAGCTAGGTGCAATATCTACAACTTTCGCCACAACACCTATTATCTTCTTCTTCTTCTTTGTTCGCTGGTTGTTGTTCATCTATTTGGACTTTGGCTTTGTGCCAGGACCTAAGTTTTGTGTGTATATCCCTTTTACTAGCTTATTTGTGTGCAGCTGGTTGTTTCCTTGCCTCTCTGGCAGATGCACTTACTTTACCTTGTTCTTTCCTAACAACTTGATCCTGTAATATATGAATAATTGTGTATTAATGTGTTAAATTATAAGACTTTAGGACAGAAAGAGTTGAAGCAACAACTGGAGCTAAGCAGATAATGTAACAACTGGGAGGGACACAAGGAACAAAGAATAGCTCATTCTGCAAGCAGGAGGAGATAACTTGGTTCTGAGTGAGTTTAATTAATGACCTTGACCTCTAGACTGACCAGATCTAGATAGAAAATCTGACAGACAGAAGACTCCTGTTTTTCTCGCTCCTCCCCGGAGTTTCTACTACATGAATTAAAGGCATTGAGGCTGGTTCTTGACTGTATCATCAACTGAGTGCTCACTGGTTCATAAGAATATAGGGCTGGCACCATCGACTCAATACAAGTCAAAGTGTGGAAATGTATCCCTTATTTATTTGCTTGTACACAGGTCATCTGAGCTTTTTCTGATGTGCCCAAGAAAGATAAACATCTGATCCACTATTGCTGAATCAGGGAGAGCTATAAAAACCACTTCTATTTTGTGGCGAACAAATAATTCCACACAGTTCTCAGTAGAAACTGAGCCAGGTCTGCTTGAATTGGAGGTGGATTTCATAATTGTTAAGCTGCTCCACCAAATAGTCAAGATAGTCAATCTAATCTCAGCTCATGTAAGGGAAGCAAAGAAGAATAACAATGTTACCTACCATGAATGTAACAAATGTCAACTTCTTCTTCTTTGCCTTCATGGGCTGTAAACTTCGGCGGAAAGTCCTGGTTGTTTATCCACGTCTGGACTTTAGTCTTTTTCCAGAACTTGAGTTTTGTGAGCACATCTGTTTTACAGATCTAGCTTACTTGTATGCAGACCGCTGGTTCCTCACCTCTCAGGCAGATGCAATTAAACTTCAAAGGAAGCACCTCTAATTAGTCAACTTTTATGACATGTTTTCTATGGTGGCGGTGAGTCTATTCTGCTTTGTTCCCACAATAGAGTGCGGCATCACTTTCTGTCCTTTTTAGGATGAAATTTATTGTTATTTCAAGCCCTACTCTGGCTCTTGCCAGGGGCCGCAATATAGCCAGGCCACAAATATGGCCTAAGGGCTGAACGCGGTTTCTGGGACCTCTCCACAGTGATCCTCATCCACATGGTGGCACATTGCGTCATCGGGGGTTTATCGCTTGTGCATTGTCTTGGTGGGGTAAAAAGTCAGTCAGTCGGTCATAGAGTGCGGGATCCACATGGTGAAGGTTTTGACAGACAACTAAGGAGGATTGGAAGGAGACTTGCTACCCCACCCCATGGAAAACTGTAGCTGCAAAATCCAACCAATCAGGAATGTCTACAAAAGGTTTAGAGTGACTTGGTTGACAGCCCGTGCACTAGTGGGATATAAAAAATAGAAGAGGCCATAACTAAAGGAACAAAATCAATTTTTCATGTGTGCAGTAACCAAAGTGGATACCAGACATAAACCCAGTTCTCAGACTATGTAACAACCTACCAGTTTGGACGTCTCTTCCAGTGAGTTCTCTAAGAATGCAATTCGAGCTTGCTGCTTTTTCACAGTGGCTGCTAGTTCTACTTTTTCAGAGCGAAGAGTTCCTGTATAATATAAAAAAAAGTCCAGAAAAGTGAAAGCCTATTTGCATACAACATGAAATATCTAAAAAAAAGATAATTTTACGTTATGTTCATCTGCTAAATGATGGCTATCCTGCACAAACTTTAACAGTTGTTGATGGGAATAATATTGTAATTCATTAATGTCATTTTTTTCTCCACTCATCATTTATATATCAGCAAAGTAGAGGTGACTTCATTCTAAACTTGGGGTCATCAGAAAAAGGGGGAGGGGGGGTTGGGGGGATGCTACGTCTAATGTTTAGGAGCAAAGAGTATACCAATAAAAGTAATATAAAGAAAAGTATATTTACATATTACTAACCCATCCTGAATCAAATATTACATCATTAGAAGCAATGTGTACCCGTAAATTTGAATACAGAAGACACAAACAACAAACTGCCCAATTTATTATCTGTTTTATCTCACTGTGTTTCAGCAGGCATATACTATAGTAATGGAATTAAAGAACTGTATTTTCATTTAAAGTGCTCCGAAGAATCTCAGCGCTGTGCACGAACTGCGAAGCACCGATGAGGATCCTTAAATACTTTGGGTAGATTTGTAGCTCAAAATGTTGCCCGGAAAGCCCTGTTGAGCTACTTTTTTTCAGTTCCCAACTGCTAAGAGATTTTTTACGTGCACAACAATACACACGGGCTTCTGATCTTACTACCCAGAGACCAGAGTAAATTACTAGAAGTCCACGTGAAAAACTCCCAGCCATCACTGGGCTTGAACCCGGGACCTCCAGCACTCGATGCGGATGCCATGCCTTGAGACTACGCAGCCCCGCGCAGTTTCAAGAATTTGATCGATCAACTGATTAGTCTGTTTTCTCTAGGCTGATACCTTAAGGTTTACGATAACACTTTGAGATTAAAGAAGCTTAATCTGGAGGCTATACCAACAAGACAGATCTAAGATAGCCTGTTTAACTTCCACAGAAGTTATAATTAAAAGGATTTATTTATTTATTTCATCTTATTTAATTCTGTTGCTGCAGAACGCAGCTGGTGAAATCTTATACCTCACTATTACACAATACACACGTTCATACATGCACCATAAAACTGAGCAATCTTGAATTCACAATGATCTACTGACACTATAAGAAACTCACAGGTAATAGCTGCATCCACTATGAACTTAAAGTTCCTTCTTTAAGCATTATTAATTATTTTCTCTTTCTCTGTTATTTATTTCCTGTTTTCTCACTTTGCCCTACCTCTCGCACTGGCAGTTCTTCTTCCCTCTTAATCTCTGCTTTTTTCACTGGATCATGTTTATGCCCATCTAAACTTGTGACAGCTTTAATCCCACTCCTTCGTTCAATTGTTAGAGAACAACAAAAAAGTAAAACTTGCTCCCCTTTCAACTGGCTAGAAATGCTGTTATAATGAGGAGGGTTTTCTTTGCCGTCTTATTCAAACTGTTTTCCTTTGTAGCATGTAATTACGCCTGATTCGTCATTTCTTTCTTCACATGTCTGTTGTGGCTTGGGTTCATGGTGCTGCCACTGCTTACTGTCTTGGTGCAAAGTCCTAAAAAGGACTAGCTACAGGCTGTCGGTTTGGTGCTTGTTCGCCTAACTTCTGGTCTTGTCAGGGTTAGTTTCTGCTGCCTTGGTGTCATGTTTTCCTGGGACTTGTTTGTGGTATCTCCGGTAGATTATTTCTTATGGTACTGTCTGGAGTTGAGCTTCGCCCATTCCTGAGTTAGAATTTCTGTTTTGTCTTCTTGTACCAGGATGAATTCTCTTTACACTGTGAGTTCGTGCTTGAGCTCAATAGGTTCTTGTTTTTTCTTGAGGTGTATTTTGATTGGTTCTATTTCTGGCTTTGGTTTCTGTGGTTCTGGTGTATTTTCTGTGACTGTTGGGTAAACTGTGTCTTGTGTTTCATCCCTTTCACTTCAGTTTCTGTGGTCTTGTCAGACTTGTCTTTCTGTACTATTCCTTCTGTAGCTGTATTTTTGTTAGCCCTGCTAGTTATTAGTTTCTCTGCAGGTTTGCAGGCTAAGCTTCTTACTTGTTGCAGAGATTCTCTTTCTTTCTTTGCTTCTAACTTTGCAGCTTCGGCTTCTGAACTAGTAGGGCGATTTCTCATGCGATGCTTTTGCAAACTTCTCTGAGCTCCACCAAGGGTTTCTTCGCCCTTCGTATTCCTCTTGTCTGTGCACACCGTCCTCTGTCATTGCTATTGTAGGTTTTAAATCTTTTCTTTCAATGTGGCGAGCTGGTCTTGGTTACTGCTCTTCACCTGGGCTATGACTTCATTGGCTGTCGCATTCCTCCTTGCTTCACCCTGATTAGTCGGTCAGGCTTGGGTGTGTTCACACATTTCTGTAGGTACGGACAGCCAGGGTATCTGGCTTCATGGCAGCTGAACTTTTTCTTCTTTGTTCACCGGCTGTAGGCTCCGACAGAAAGTCCTGGTTGTTCGTCCAATTGGACTTTGGCTTTGTGCTGGGGCCTGAGTTTTGAGTGTACATCTTATTTGTGTGGCAGATGCACTCTGACTTCAAAGGAAGTCCACAGTCAGTCGACCCCTACGACATGCTTGCTGGGAAGGCAGTGGGTCTATTCTTGTTTTCCCCATAATGAGGCCCCAGAACCCACATGGAAAGTGCGCACGAACATTTCAAGCTGCTCTGTAAGTATGTTTTATTTCATTTTATTTACTCTGATTGCTTATTTTCATTTTCTTATGGTTGCATACTAGTATGCCTTAACATACTAATAGTTACTGAATTTGTATTTTGTGATGGTTCACAGTGCTGAACTTTTAAGTGAGAACATGGGGGTGGGGTTGGCCTAACATGTGACCTGGTAAGTAAAGTAAAAGTAAGTAAAGGACCCTTTCCACGCCTTTAGGCGTATAGGGCATATAGGGCTAGACCTATATTTTTATAGACCAACGGCACAAGATGTGTGATGTGGTCAGCATCACGCCGGCCGCCTCTACTTCCCGGGATTGCACCCGGTACACACTCAAGGCTGGGTCGACCTGGGAGCCAAGGTCATTTTTGAAGAAAAGTCCGTCTCTGTGACCTGGTTTAAATAATTTTAATAAGCAATGATTCTCAGCCATATATGCAACAAATAATAATGTTATGAACAGAGTATACTATGTCTTCACTAACAATAACAATATGAACAGAGTATACTATGTCTTCACTAACAATAACAATATGAACAGACTAAACTATGTCTTCACTAACAATAACAATATGAACAGACTAAACTAACTATGTCTTCACTAACAATAACAATATGAACAGACTAAACTATGTCTTCACTAACAATAACAATATCAACAGACTAAACTATGTCTTCACTAACAATAACAATATGAACAGACTCAACTAACTATGTCTTCACTAACAATAACAATATGAACAGACTCAACTAACTATGTCTTCACTAACAATAACAATATGAACAGACTCAACTAACTATGTCTTCACTAACAATAACAATATGAACAGACTCAACTAACTATGTCTTCACTAACAATAACAATATTTGATAGACTAAACTAACTATGTCTTCACTAACAATAACAATATGAACAAACTAAACTAACTATGTCTTCACTAACAATAACAATATGAACAAACTAAACTAACTATACTCAGGGAGAACAGTGAGCAGAGCTGGTAAAGAAAGCTGTAAACAAAGATTTATGAATAACTAATTCAACATCCAGTATCCAGCAGTGGCAAAGTTAGATAACTGTGTTTCACTTAAACAACAACATGTCTCAGGGATTTACCTATTGTGCTGTTTAAAGCAAGGATGTGTTGTTTCACAGTCATGTTGCCCTCAACTTGAGATAGGATCTCCTCACTGTCCTGGGCTGTTGGGAGGTGTGATGTACCAGTGGCAGCTCTCCTAGAGGATTTCAGCTTTACCTTTAACTCTCTGTTCTCTCTCTTTAACTCTTCCAACTCCTCCTTGTGCACAGAAAAACTGTCAGCCACTGTTTTTAAATATTGAACAATTTAATTTGGCTACCAAAAATGTACAAGATCAAAAATTAAATCTAATAATGAGTGCTAGAAACCTATCAATGTGAGAAACTGAATCATATATTCCACATTTAAGTCTTACGTTAAGCCTTTACAGCTATGTGACATATAAACATTGATATGTGGGGTTGGTCTTATCGGCAAATTTTAGTCTCGGTAACAGAGTTCGCTATCTAAAAAGGCACAGTGCAATTACGTAGCTCGGATGCATAAGAAGAAAAAACATGGATAAAGACTGAAACAATTATTAATAAACTACAAACATTCAATGAATGGTTTAAAAGAGAAGAACTTAAAACAAGAGGTAGACCAAGAACAAGATGGGAAGATAACATCAGAGAAACTCTACAGCACAACGATGTGTCTATGATCAAAGCAGCCAGAAGAGCACAAAGCAGGACCTTATATCTCCCTTGACACCTGAAGCGGTAAAAGAGGACGTAAAGAAGAAGAAGAAGATTGAATGGTTCTCTGCAGACAGACTTACTCATTCAAAGCTAAGGGAAAGAACTAATCAAATGTAGGTCAATTAAGAGGCGAGGAAAAGATAGTACTGAACACGGCACACACTGAGAAAACCTGATAAAAGTTAAACTAGAAAGTTCTTTCTCTGGAACTCAGAGGACAAAAGAGTTAGAAAAAGACTTAGAGAACATGAAAATAATTAAATAATGGGAGGGCAGGGCATGACCTTGAAAAACAGCAAAGGATAGATGGACTGCACAACCTTAGATGAAGGCTTTTAGTCCAACGAGAGACAAAGAAAGAGGAAGAAGATATGAGTTGGGACTTGAATAACTAGATGTTGGTGATTACCCAGTCCCATCCTGGCAGCAAGCAACACATTTATTCAGAGCATGCCCAAGAGCTTTTCCAGGTGGTGAGTGCAAGACTCGTATAGTGACTGCCTACCACCATTGTGGGCAATTCTGACAATAAATCACAAAAGAAACTAAACAAACAGTTCAGCAGCAATACTGTTAACAATCAAGGGATGCAAGCAAATATATTTCATATCCCAACATTCACTGTGAGACAAGATACAATCCCAATGGCAAATTCCGATCCAGCCGTACAACTGAGGTTCAAATGTTCTAGGTAATGTTCAGAATTTTACAGTGAGGTGACAGAGAGGGATGAAGAGAAGACAAGGAAGGAAGAGTAGCAGACAAGGAAGGAAGAGTAACAGCAGCAGTAGTGGTGACAGTGAAGGATGAAGATAAGACAAGGAAGGAAGAGTAGCAGCAGCAGTAGTGGTGACAGTGAAGGATGAAGATAAGACAAGGAAGGAAGAGTAGCAGCAGCAGTAGTGGTGACAGTGACAGTGAAAGGATAGCAGCAGCAGTGAGTGAAGATGAAGAGAAGACAAGGAAGGAAGAGTAGCAGCAGCAGTAGTGGTGACAGTGAAGAATGAAGATAAGACAAGGAAGGAAGAGTAGCAGCAGCAGTCAAACTGTTAAGGTAGTAGCCTTTGGCCTAACCTCGTGAATGTATGTGGTTTGATCCTATCAACATCAGATGCTCCTGACTTACCATTAAATGATTTCACTTCTGCCCTCTGACCTTCCTGACCCAGGGACTCCATCTGCAACCTCATCTCAGCTATCAACTCTTTCAGACTTGCATTCTGTTTCTGTAAATCCTCAACATAGTTCATTTCTTCTTCATCCTCTGATTCATGCAAGGAGTACTAGAAAGAGAAAATATCTTCATGTAGATGAGCTTAAGGAAACAGTCCATACAATACAACTTATCACCAATCTGCAGAATGTCTCTCTCATCACTGCACGTCTGAAAATCTCTCTTCCTCTAGCCAATTCTCCAGCCCTATGTGCTTTCAAAGCCAATGCATCTTCAATAAGTCTTTTATCCATCTTCATGGAGGTCTGCTTCTGCCTCATTTCTGGAAACCCGTACTCTCCATCACTGATTTTTTTTCCAGAGACCTTTATGCTTAACATGGCAACAACAACAACAACAACAAAAATCTCAGCTTTCAGGACAGGATGCTGATTATGAGCCTGCTTCAATTTCCCCCCTCCCCCCCCCCAACCAAAAAAAAATATGGGAGTTCTTGGGGTAGTTCAGATATATCACGTGACATCAAGATGTTTTCTTTTGCAGTTTATTATGGTTTTCTTTGACTGACTTCCTACCCCACCAGGACATCACACAAGTGATAAACACATGATGACACAAAGTGCCACCATGTGGATGAGGATCGCCATGGAGAGGTCCCAGAATTCACGTGCAGACAATTGGCCATATTTATGGCCTGCCTATATTGCGGCCCCTGGCAAAAGCCAGGGTGGGGCTTCAAATAACAAAAAAATTTGTCCTAAAAAAGGACGAAACTGGATTACAATTTGGTTTTCTTTAGATAATGTGTGTTATTATATCCCTAAACCTAACCTTAATCCTAAACTCTAACTCCTTACCCTGACCTTAATCTTAATGCACACTAAAAAAAGCTACCCTAACTATAGCAACCAGGTTTGTTTGGGGTGAATAAAAATTAAAATACCGCCTGCTCTCCTTGATATTCAGATCACATAGAACATCGATGTTTTTTCTCTTCTTCTTTGTCCATAGTATTTTCAGAATGTTTCTACACAACTCATTACCTGCAAATGTTTACACATTGTGTAATTTAATTTTATTTTTTCTTCTAGATCCTCGCTTCATAATGCCAAGGTGCCGGGTTCGATCCCAACTGCAGGCCATGCGCCTTGCGTTGGTTTTGACAGTGGTATCAGGGTGCCGACCGTCCAGAAAGCAATGGCAAACAACTGGACGTAAATTGTCTAAAGAAACCAACACAACAGCCGGGGGCTGCTGGGGTTGGTTCTGCAACGTCCTGTAAAGGATACGCAACTAACCTTCTAGATCCTATATAATTTATCACTGGTGTTCAACTATATTAATACAACTGAAAACAAACTAAGGTTAATGAGCCCTGATATTACATACACATTCTAAGAACAAAGTGAATACGAAGGTTGAAAATTTAAAAAAATAATCATAACAATAAAACAATTCACTTTTACAAAATCTTAACATTATAAACATTATCTTGTCTCAAAAATTAAAATATTGCAGAAAAATCAAACACTGTTTAAAATAGAACAGTAATTAAAGGCTTGGTTGTTAGAAAAAAGTGTGGGTCAGACGAACACAGTGGTGGTCACAATCCGCATGAAAATTCCCTTTCTGTCTTTTTCTGCTCTTTAACCCCTCATGGAGCACAACTTTATTATAACCAACACATGTTAAGTCTTCCTATTGTTGTCCATCTCCCGTATCTCCCAACATACCACTCTCTTATGTATCTGATTTTCTTCTTCGTATGCTTTAAGGTACCTCTATATATTGTTCCCTTTGATTTGAGCTGCTTCTCACTGGGTTTTTTTTTTTAAATAGAAGAATGATGAAAATACACTGGGCAGGTTGTTTTTTTTAAATACAGTAATTAAGATGTCTTGAAAGAAACTCACTCACATCTGCCCACATCAGAAGGAGACAATCTATATTTTGTGGTCAATGATAAGCAAGAGAAAACTGGGATACATTGTGATGATGGAAAAGTTGGTGGAGAAAAGAAGCAGAGAAAGAATGAGAGAGAAGATGCTGGACAGTTTGAGATCATGTTATGGAAGATCATCTGTGTCAGAAATGACGGAAAGTAGCCAAGACAGAAGGTTGTGGATAGATATGACTACAAATGCCACATGGCATGGAATAGAAGAAGAAGTTTTGGAAAAACGACTTTCTAGTCACAAAGCTAACAGATTTCTCAATATGCATCCCATTTAACACCAGCATCGATGAAAATGCATGAGGCAGGGGAAGACCAGCACAAAGTGGAACCCTGTGCGTGAAAATGCATGAAGTAACAGAACTAACAAAGGATCAGGAGTCTTCTGGCTAGGCTTTGACAAGAGGGATGTTGTGCAAAGAAGTAGCCACTTGATGCTGATGACTACAAGATGAAACTTTAAACCATCTGTGTGGACCGCAACTGGGCACTTACTTTGACAAAATTATCCAGAGGAATATCTGTGTTTCTTGAGCAGACCCCTCATCTGATCCCGCTCTCTGTGCAGGGATTTCAGTAGCAGGATTTTGTGATGGAGTTCTCTTTCTCTTTCTTTGACCAACGCTTGGGCCTGAAATAGACAAACTGATCTTTCTCTTTCTTTGACCAACGCTTGGGCCTGAAAAAACAAACTGATCTTTCTCTTTCTTTGAACAAAAAAACTGATCTTTCTCTCTATGACTTTGGGCCTGACCAACGCTCTTTTTTTGACCAACGCTTGGGCCTGAAAAAAAACAAACAAAACCAACGCTTGGGCCTAAAATAGACAAACTGGTCTTTTATCATCATCAACATCATGCCCCATGCAGACCAGTACAGGTGATTATATTCCACTACAAACATCTTCATTCTGTGACCTTGATAAGTTTATTGTTGATTGTCTTCCTAGCCACTCTGCCCACCCCTCCAGCATCCTATTCCTCTGTCAACCCAAGTGTCCAACACTCTTGATAACTGCATCTGTCACAGCCATCTTCAGACACTCTTGTATCATAATGTCATCAAAGACATGACTATTCTTTTGTTCTGAGGAGTGTAATATAATATTTTTTGAACTTGCCTATTGTACATTCACGAGGAGCCATGGTAGTAGAGGCTGGATGCTTACCCGCAGGCCACAATATCTAGGATTCAAATCCACATTGAGGTAGAGTTTTGGTGGGGTTTTTTTTTTTTTTCTGACCTGGGCTTTTCAGACAACCCAGCTTATAACAGGTACCAGGTAATGTCCTGGGAAGCAAATGCGGCTACCATGATAATGGTCATATCACCCACAGAGAAGTGATCGGCAAATTAAATATAGGTTTAGAATCACATGTCTCGTGACCAAAGCATAAAAAGGATCTTTTCCTATGGTGTTAAGCTTGCATAGCCTCTATGTTTGGCAAGGGTCTATCAGGGAAGCACAAAATAGCAATCTGTCTGTCCTATAGCCACCCCCTATACTATATCCCCTACTTGTATAAAAACCATCTCCCTGTACAAAAACCAAACCACCTCCCTGTACTGTAACCACCTTCCTGTACCAGTTTTTAAAAAGGAGTAGAAAATTATAGGGAAGAGAAAAAGTTGGTAAGAAACAACAAACAGTTAATGTTAGCTTTACAAAATCAATCACAATAAACAAACAAAGAACGTTGCGGCAATTAGCCTTCATCAGCACATAAAGGACAACACAGTACACATACACAAATATGCTCTAACTATGAAGTGACTAAATAGGACTCTAATGTATAAAATAAATGATACTCATCTGAGTCCCTGGCGAAAAAACTACCTACAATGAACTTCCTTACTGTACTATAACCACCTCCCTGTACCATAACCGCCTCCCTGTACTATAACCACCTCCCTGTACCATAACTGCCTCACTGTACTATAACCACATCCCTGTACCATAACTGCATCCCTGTACTATAACCACCTCACTGTATTATAACCACCTCACTGTACTTTAACCACCTCCCTGTACCATAACCGCCTCCCTGTATTATAACCACCTCCCTGTACTATAACCGCCTCCCTGTACTATAATCACCTCCCTGTACTATAACTCCCTCCCTGTACCATAACCGCCTCCCTGTACTATATAACCACAGACAAATAAGGAGGGTTGGCAATTTACTGGCTATCTTCTTCCTCTTCTTCAAGTTTACCAGCTGTAAACTCCTACGGAATGTTCTGGTTGTTCATCCACCACCGGACCACACTCTTGTCCCAGAACCTGTACTATTGTGCGCACATTCGTTTCACAGATCTGACTTAATTGAATGCAGACTATTGGTTCCTTGCCTCTCAGACAGACTTTAAATAAAGCCCCAGTTAGTTGACTCCTACAACACGCTTGTTGGGGAGGCAATGGATCAATTCTTGTTTTCCCCAGAATGGGGCCCTGGAACCCACACGGGGAACTAGCTACCTCATGAGGAAAACTGCAGCTGCACAATCTAACCAATCATGAATGTCTATAGAGAGCTTGGGTGGGATTTAGTTAATGGTTTATGCCCCTACTGGAAGCTTAATGTAACATTGGCCAAATTCAAAGTAACAGTTGGTCACCTCAGTGTAATATTGGTCAAATTCTAAGCAACAATTGGTCACCAGTTGGTCCCTTTAACGTAACATCAATCAAGCTCAAAGTAACAGATGGTCACCTTAATGTAACACTGGTCAAAGTAACAGTTGGTCACTTCAGTGTAGCAGCTGGTCAGTTTAATGTAGCTATTTGTCAACTTAATGTAAATATTTGTCAACTTAATGTAACTGGTCAGCTTAATGTTAACAACTGGTCAGCTCAATGTTAACAACTGATCAGGTTAATGTGACCTTTGTCAACTTAATGTAACTATTTGTCAACTTAATGTAACTGGTCAACTCAATGTTAACAACTGATCAGCTTAATGTTAACAACTTAATGTAACTATTTGTCAACTTAATGTAACTGGTCAGCTCAATGTTAACAACTGGTCAGCTCAATGTTAACAACTAGTCAGCTTAATGTAACAACTGATCAGGTTAATGTGACCTTTGTCAGCTTAATTTGACAGTTGGCTGTTGGTCAGTTTAATGAAATTAGAGACAGATCAATACAAATCTGATAAACTATTAAATTACGAGCAATTTCAACCTCATTCCTTGCAGTAATTAGCTTCTTAATGAGGTCCTCAGATCTGTCATACTGCTGTCTCTCCAGGTCCTCACATCTTCTCTGCCAATCTAATTCTGTCTGTGTCTTGGCTTTATCCAGCTTCTCCTCTCTTTCTGCAGCAGCTTTCAGTTCATTCTTGTACCTGGCACAAAACAAGAGTGTGTCAATGAATGAGTCTTGTGAATCTGCAGTAGTCAATTTAAGGCCCAAGGGATGTACACTAGCTGATTATTGTAGTGCTCCAGTCACATTTAATAGAAATCATATATTAGTCAATCGTTCAGAGCACTTCTCTGCCAACCCAGGGAGTAATGAGTAATGTCAACAGATGTGTGGCTACAAGCACCTTTCATTCACTGGTGTTCTGGTAATGTCTACACAAACAGCCCAGATTTGTAGATCAGTGTTAATTTAACTCACAGCTGGCTGAAACTTTCTAATATCTTTATACGGTTGTCTGCATCTTTAAACAAAGCCAATGGTTAGCAGTAGTAATAGCAGCAGAAGTAGTAGTGGTGGTGTGGTGGCAGTGGTAGTAAAGGTGGTAGTGATAGTAGTGATAGCAGTGGTGATAATAGCTGCAGCAGTAGTGGTGGTGTAGTAAGTATTAGTAGTTACTGTCGTCACAAAAGTTCCAGGTTCCATGACTGATATTTTTCAACCTCACTGAGTGACCTAAGCAGCCATGTTTTCTGATCTCCATTCCATCTCAGAAAAGATCATAATAAAAGAGTTCTGTGTAGGGATCAGACTGCAACTAAAAAAAAAAAAAAACACATACGCATGCCAGACTTGCAGAATATGTGTAAACTACTTACTCTACTTAGCCACTTCTCCTGTATACAGGTGTGATAAAATCAACTACAGTCTGTGTGACAGTTTGTCCCCTGTACCCTGTGCTGATACAAACAAGATCACTTGTTTGCTCAGTCGAGATAGTCAACAGTTTTCACAGTTGTATTTACTTCACCCTTGTTTGCTCAAGATAGTCAACAACAGGACAACTTGCATGCTGAGCTCTCTAGTCAAACAAAAGGATCCTTGTTTGCTCAGTCGATAGTCCTGACACTTGTTTGCTCAGTCGAGATAGTCAACAGTTTTCACAGATGTATTTACTTCACTCAAACATACAACAGGACAACTGCATTGTCAGCTCTGGTAAAACCTGATCCTGACCTTTGTAAATCATCCTTTCTTTGATCCAGCTCAAGTCGGAGTCTTCGATTCTCTTCCAGGGCAGTACTAAGTTCAAGGTCACGAGCCACATGTTCTCTGGAAATTTTAGCAACATGTCGATCCCACTTTTCCTTGACATCAGTGAGCTCTTCCTGCAATCTAAACAGCAACAAGTTGACGATATATCATATTCATTCATTCATTCAGTTGAAACATTTCTACCCTGGAGAGTAGAAGCATTTCTTCTCTCCCTATCCTTCTTCTTCTATATCTGCATTCATCCTTAAAAGGGGGTTTGGCTTGTTGTGTTGTGGTTTACAGCTAGGCTGTAATATCCACACTTTCAGTCATCTTTTATGGCATGCTTGTTAAAGTGAAGTGAATCCATTCCTTTTCCTCACAAAAATGAGGCCCTGGACCCTGGAAGACACACATGGGGCTCTGGAACCCCCACATGGGACCCTGGAACCCACACATGGGGCCCTGGAACCCACACATGGGACCCTGGAACCCACACATAGGGCCCTGGAACCCACACATGGGGCCCTGGAACCCATACACATGGGGCCCTGGAACCTACACATGGGGCCCTGGAACCCACACACGAAGCCCTGGAACCCACACATGGGGCCCTGGAACCCACACATGGAGCCCTGGAACCCACACATGGGACCTGTAGCCTATACATGGGGCTCTTGAACCCACATATGGGGCTCTAGAACCCATACATTGAACATTTGAACCCATATATGGGGCCCTGGAACCCATACATGGGACACTGTAACCCATACATAGGGCCCTGAAACCCACACATGGGACCCTGGAACCCATACATGGGACACTGTAACCTATACATAGGGCCCTGGAACCCATACATGGGACCCTGGAACCCACACATGGGGCCCTGGAACCCATACATGGGGCCCTGGAACCCATACATTGGGCATTTGAACCCATATATGGGGCCCTGGAACCCATACATGGGACACTGTAACCCATACATAGGACACTGTAACCCATACATAGGGCCCTAGAACCCATACATGGGGCCCTGGAACCCATACATGGGGCCCTGGAACCCATACATGGGGCCCTGGAACCCATACATGGGGCCCTGGAACCCATACATTGGACTCCTATCCAAAAGCACTATCTTGGTGCCATTACTGACTCACGGTGAATGTTATCAATCAATGTACTTCCCTGCTGCTTTCCTTTAGAAAAAATATCTCAAAGGCAATTTGAATCCTATTACATATTCTAGAACTGACAGCATATCCTTAAAGTAATCTGAATCCTATGACATATTTCAGAACTGACACCATATGTCTAAAGCTATCTGAATCCTATGACACATTCCAGAACTGACACCATACCACTAAAGTAATCTGAATTATATAACTCCCATATATAAAATATTCTAGAACTGACACCACATCTCTAAAGCAATCTGAATCCTATGACACATTCCAGAACTGATACCACAACCACTAAAGTAATCTAAATCCTATGACATATTCCCAAACTGATACCACAACCATTAAAGTAATCTGAATCCTATGACATATTCCAGAACTGATACCACAACCACTGAAGTATTTAAATCCTATGATACATTCCAGAACTGACACCACAACCACTAAAGTAATCTAAATCCTATGACACATTCCAGAACTGACACCACAACCACTAAAGTAATCTGAATCCTATGACACATTCCAGAACTGACACCACAACCACTAAAGTAATCTGAATCCTATGATACATTCCAGAACTGATACCACAACCACTAAAGTCATCTGAATCCTATGACATATTCCCAAACTGATACCACAACCATTAAAGCAATCTCTGAATCCTATGACACATTCCAGAACTGATACCACAACCACTAAAGTCATCTGAATCCTATGACATATTCCAGAACTGATACCACAACCTCTAAAGCAATCTGAATCCTATGACATATTCCAGAACTGATGCATCTCTAAGGCTGTATGAAACCTCTGATATCAAGCAGTATTCTGTTAGAGCACACAGCTAGTGTAGAGGCAGATGGTATTAGAGATTTATTTCAGCCAATCTTCATTGTGGAGATGTGGAGATGTGGAGATGTGGAGATGACACCTCAGTGACTGCTGGTGAATGAAAAATTAGAGACTTATTTCAGCCAATCTTCATTGTGGAGATGACACCTCAGTGACTGCTGGTGAATGAAAGATTAGAGACTTATTTCAGCCAATCTTCATTGTGGAGATGACACCTCAGTGACTGCTGGATGATCACCAAAGTCTGGTGACTTATTTCAGCCAATCTTCATTGGTGGCAGATGCTTGAGGCCTCAGTGACTGAGGGACGTTAATCAGAAAGCTACTGGCACCATTAGTATCAGCCAATCTTCATTGTGGAGATGACACCTCAGTGACTGCTGGTGAATGAAAAGCATCAACATTTAAAATATTAAAAAAACATTAATTGTAAATGTATCATTACATTATACTAACCAGCAACAGACATTATATATTCCTATTATAACCCTAATGCTTGAAATGAATGTTATCTTAATTTTTATTTTTCAACAATCCAACTTACTTTTCTATCTGCACCTCCTTCTCCTTCATTAGGTCCTGGTTGGACCATGTGAGCTGCCTTTGTCTCTAATCTGTGCATCCTCCAGCTTGGACTGAAGCTCCTGGATGACAGTCTGCAGAGCCTGTTCCTTTTCCAGGTAGCCATTCCTAGCTCTCTCCAAGACACTTTCCTTGTCACGTGCCAGTTTGTCCAATTCTGTGTATCTGTTTCACAATGATATAGAATTCATGTAATCAGATGAAAAGACAACCTACCAAACCAATCTTAGTCAGAGGATTGGTATACACACAAAATTAAAATAACAGCTAGCACATAACCTGCTTAAATCAGAAAACAAAGGACAACCATTTAGAACCCATCTAATCAAGTGCAAAGACAGTCATACCCTATCCATCTCAATATCTCTTTTGCCCTGAGAAGCCATAACACTGACACTTCAGGGTGGTACCACTCCCTCATGAGAGTCGCTTTCCCAACTTGCTAAAGAGGCAAGTTAACAAGACATCCACCCAACAGAATTCATCGAATTTGCGTAAACTTTCAGCTTCACAGAGAATGAATAAATTTATTAAAAAGTGTATTGAGTAAGGTTTTCTTTTTAAAAAATGGTTTTATTTACAGACATTTCTACATCATATTTTTCGCACTGGCTACAGTGGTTACCTAGTAACCGTGTCACAGGACCATGTAGGTGGTCACCCTATAATTAGTTTACAGTCCCCAAGAAATTAAGTCAGTCGATTCTATTGCTGCATTTGTTTTTATTGATTACTGCAGGCTGCGTGGATTTGTGTCGTGGTATGGGACGTCGCAGGTCGACCCAGCCTAAAATGGGTACCAGGATGGGCTGTCCTGGGAAAGTAAAGACAGCCGGCGTAATGCTGACCACATTACCCACCGAGTGCTGATGGTCTGTAAAAATATAGGACGCTCTGCCCATATGCCCCATGCGCCGAAAGGCGTGAAAAGGGATCTTTACTTTACTTTTTTTACTTCCTTTACTCTGTTTGTTCAAGTTTTGGACGATAAATTGATTCTGTACCACTTTATTTAGTGACAAATGTAAACGTAATTTTTCTAAGGTTTTTTTTTAGGGGTATATCCAAAAATTATAGGAGCTTGGCTTTTATCTAGGTCACCAGTGTTAAAGGGTTAAGTAAAGTCATTCAAATTAACATAGATTTATCTTATTTAGTATTAAAGAATGCAAACTATGTATTTATCCATATATTTATCTTAGACTAACACACAACACAAGCCCAAATCATAAATAAGAACTAATGCATCTAACATAAAACATACTTTCTTTGAAAATCTTCCTGCATTTTTCTCATCGCTGATTCACAAGAGGCCAATTTGTTTTGTAGTTCTGCAAGCCTGTAACATGATAATGTGGACTATCAATAGTCAACTTGCGATGAATAGACAAAAAGTTTCAATCAATATATTCGAAATGCTTTTCCTGGAACTGGATTACTCAGCTCTGATGTTTCTCCTTCAATTCTTCTTCTTCTTCTTCGCGTTCACCAGCTGTAAACTCTGGCGGAAAGTTCTGGTTGTTCATCCACTTCTGGACTGCAGTCCTGTTCCAGAACCTGAGTGTCGCACCTGCATCCGTTTTAAAGATATGACTCATTTGTAGGCAGACTGCTGGTTCCTTGCCTCTCAGGCAGATGAACTCCGACTTTGAAAGAAGTTCCCAATTATTCGACTCTTACGACATGCTTTTGGGTAGGCAGTTGGTCTATTCTTTTTTTCCTTATAACAGGGCCCCGAAACCCGCACAAGGATCTCCTTTAATTAAAATAGCTGTAGAATATACTGCAGGTTTATGTGTGAAAATGCAATAATATTTAACACGTTTTGTTTTGTTACATTTACAAAGCACTCACTTAATACAGAACTTGCTAAAACTGATTATAAAACTGTAACTTGTGTTCTGGTAATGTCTGGATTATTGTCTGTGGCTTTGGTGCTGCAAACGCGCTTCCTAATGCCTGGGAGGGGGGGTCGGATCCCTGCTGCGAACAGTTTGTCTTGCACTGGTTTTGACAGTGGTAGCGAGAGCTGACCATCCAGAAAGCAATAGCAAACTACTGGACAAAATTTGCATAGCAAAACCACAACAACCAAAGAGTGCTGGAGTCGGTTCTGCTGTGTCTTATAAAGGATACGCAACTAAGTAACAACTGCATTATTGATAAATGACTCAGTGACTGAAGAATAAGAACAACATTACATTCTGAGAACAATGAGACAGGTTGAAAAATGCTGAGACAGAAGAAGAACAGACTGAGGACACTCAGACAGAAGAATAATGGGCTAAGAAAGTTGAGACATAAGAACTAATCTAACATGTTAAGAACACTGACACAGAAGAACAGGTGGAGAACACTGAGACAAAAGAACAGACTAACAGTTTGAGATACTGAGATAGAAGAACAGACTAATAGGCTAAGAATATCAAAACAGAAAAGCTGACCAACAAGCTGCGAATAATGAGACAGAAGAACAGACTAACAGGCTGAGAATAATGAGACAGAAGAACAGACTAACAGGCTGAGAATAATGAGACAGAAGAACAGACTAACAGGCTGAGAATAATGAGACAGAAGAACAGACTACCAGACAGAGAATAATGAGACAGAATAACAGGCTAACAGACTGAGAATAATGAGACAGGAGGACAGACTAACAGGCTGAGAATAATGAGACAGGAGAACAGACTAACAGACTAAGAATAATGAGACAGAAGAACAGACTAACAGACTGAGAATAATGAGATAGAAAACAAGACTAACAGACTAAGAATGAGACAGAACGAATAAAATGGCCTAAGAGGCTGAGAAAGTGAGAGAGAACATCCTAATAGAAGGTTTAAGAATAAGTCATTTTTGTTTTTTTTTAAATTTATATTAAAAAAAAAAAATAATAATAACAATAAATGTGAGCGGCAAAACAATGTAAAAAGCACATAACAAATCCCATACTGAGAGTCCTTCACTGCAGTCACATCCGCCAGCTCCCATTCCTTCTGTTTAACAAGCTTCTCCAACTTCCTCTGCATAGTTTCTGCCTCTTCTGCTGCAGCAACAGTTTTGTCATTAGACTCTCTTGTCAGCTCAAGCTCTTTCTCCACCAGTTTTGCCTGCAGCAAATAGTTATGCTCTGTTAAAAAACTCTCTTTGCTTCAACAGATGCTACTTTTAATTGTTCTTTTCTAAGCAATATATACTTTATTGCATGTTTAGATTTGAAATTCTTTGATTCTGTTACCCTGAAAAGGGTGATCGGCACACTGTATTATGGTTTACAGCTAGGCTGTGATTTCTAAAACCTCTCAGCCAAACATATGTTACTTCAACAAGCCCCTAATGAATCACCTTTTCTATGGGACAGCTCCTGCAAGCCAGTTGGAGCAAACAATGGGAAATCTTTTCTGCGGCAACTTACAAAATCACTGAGGAAACATTCTGAGCTTTTGAAATGAGATGCTACATAATATTTATAAATAATTTAGCTCTGGGAACTAGGACCGTGTATCTGCCTTGACACCTGAAGATATAAAACATGAAGCGAAGAAGAACACAGCTCTGCAAGATGCTGACACTGGACAGGACACACACTGAGAAAACCAGGTAATAATACAATAGAAAGTCCTTGCACTGGACCCTGCAGAGTAAAAGAAATATAAAAGGACCTAAAAACTATGAAAAGATAATTATAATTAGAGACAATGAGAAACAAACACTTCTTATTCTCCTTGTGATTGCTCTCTGATTTACACTGATAGATAAGTGCTTGTGATAAAATTGACTGTTTTTTTTTTAAGTTCCCTTTCAGTTCCATAGAACTTTGAGTATGTTTCCAGTATTTTCTTCTTTATGGGCTGTACAAGGGACAGACTAGCAGGGTAATTTCTGCAGTTTGCACATACAGCCCACATGGGCACAATGGTGATCTACTTATTCAAAGCTTGTGCAAATTGTGCAGGTTAAACCCTCACCTCAGACTGGCCAGACTTTGTTCACTTCTGATAGACACTGACAAATAATAAGAGAATGACACGGAGGGAGCTGTAGGAGGTGGTAAAACATAGCTTACCATGTGGTGGCCCATTTGCCATGAAGCTGAAACTAAGATTACCAGATTACCAGGAATATGAGCACATGCTCCAGTGGGAGTCTAAGGGCAGCAGATAGCAGCTCTGAGCTATCAACCCAGGCTTATAAGATAGGCACACACTAATTGTCTAAAAATAATGGGACAAAATAGTTGTTTGAATTGTCGTGGATCACCTTGTGGTGGGGATGGGTAGAGGCAGCTCATATAATCATGCTAGAACATGTTTGTGAAAGTTTAGTACTTCTCATCTTTATGACAGTATCTGCAATTTTATTTCCTTTACTTCTTTATTTGACATTCACATAAAGGTAATATCCTGTTTGATGTTGTTAGTAATTTTACCTTCAACTCAAATTCCAGTGCCTTTGTACGGAGCTCATCAAACTGAACTCTGAACTCGTGTTCTCTTTTCTTTAACTCATTTTCAAATTCTGAAGAGGAAAATGTACACTGTGTCACATGGTAATTCCTTTAACTCCTTCTGGACTTAGCAATGAAATAACAAAGATTATATTCTGTGACCTGATGTCTTGGTGAGTCTAAAAAGATATATGTGGTGTCATATGATATGATGTGGTGTCATATGATATGATGTGGTGTCATATGATATGATGTGGTGTCATATGATATGATGTGGTGTCATATGATATGATGTGGTCTCATATGATATGATGTGGTCTCATATGATATGATGTGGTGAAAAAAAAACTTGTTTTGAAAAAGAAAAAAAAACATTTCAACGCCTGTCCTCCATTGCTAAAGAACATGTATTAGCACAGCTGGAGCTACGCCTGTTATGGCATTGGTGATATGTTTTATTTATGAACCCTGCATATCTCCAACTATATGACCGAACAAAAGCAGGAGATGTAAAAACTGTGCTTACAGAAACATATCAGTCGAACAAAAGCTTTCAGTAAGATAAACTGTTATTTATTAAAGACAATGTGCCAAGCTTAAGATTATAATTACATCATCATCTTTATGACTGCACAGATTAGACAGACATAGCCATGGCCCCAACAGTCACAGACACTCTGATTTCAAGAACAATCACAATATGCGTTTATCTTCTTCTTCTTTGTATTCAGCAGCTGTAAACTCTGGCAGAAAGTTCTGGCTGTTTATCCACTTCTGAGCTCAAGCCTTGTTCCAGAACCTGGCTTATGTGTATGCTGACTGTTGGTTCTACTCCTCTAGGGCAGACGCCTTCCGATTTTGAAGGAAACATCCATAACTAGTTGACTCTTATGAGTCTAACACCCCCCCCCCCCCAACCTAGTGAGGTCCAGGAACCCACATGGGAAGCAATGTCCATTAGGATGTAGTTTCATAGGCAGAGATGTGTGCTAGCAGTTGTCCGTTACATTAAAAATCATCCAAAACAAACTTTTGAAGAAAAAACCTGCGTGTTCAAAAACATCAATTTTCTTCAGTGTGGTATTACCAATTACTTTCTGATAGCCTCAGTTAGATAGTTACCTCCTGAGCAAAACAAATTATGACATTGTCACACTGTTTGATCAATAACATGTTCAACTGTAATGTACCTGAGCAAAATAAACTTCCTTTTTTTTGTGTGTTCAAGAGTGAAGGTCTTTTCTTCCCAATTTTTGAAATGTCAGGTTTTGAGCAGGCATCAGCAATCATGACTCTAATCCTCTCTATCATTTGAAATTCTTTATAAAACTGGGATGTCACTTTATTATGTATTGTACAGTTGTTTATGCTTTCCCCATACAACTTTACTTTTTTCTGTTTTCCTCTGCCTCTTCTGTCCAGTGTTTTCGCACACAAGGCTAATTTCTCTGTTCTACCCCTAATATTAATGCCCCTAAACATTATCAAATGTAATATAAAATTACACCACCAATGTGTTTGCTAACATCTTCTAAAACTATAATTCCCCAAACAATAGTTCAAACAGAATCAACCATTTTATGAGCTCTTTGAACCCACATTAAATAAATAAGCTGTGACTGTGACATCAGAATGTGAAATTTACATACTGTTGGTTCAGAACTTGATACTGTTTCTGTTTTCTTAACTAAAAAATAAATATTAATAAAGATATACTTGGCTCGCAATTAACTAACATGTAAACTGCTGGCCCATAATTTAAATACTACTTATGTATTTTGACCTCCCATAATTTAAATACTACTTATGTATTTTGACCTCACAACACTAACAACATAGACAAATTTGCCCCATAAGTTTATGTTGTACTTACGTATAGTCAGTTCAGACTTTTGTGTATCTAATTCGTTCTGAACATTAAGCAACTGAAGCTGAAGATTTCTTCTAAATTCTTCATATTCCTTTCTCTCTTCTTGAAGCTCTCCATCTTTGTGGCTGGAGAGAGAGAAAAGAAAATGTGTAAATAACAATAATATAATTTTTCATTTCAAGAAGTTGAACGTAACTTGAATACCGACTACTCTCATCCAGACACTGCCGTAGACAAAGGAAAAAGTAAACAGAGAAGAAGAAGAAAATGGTTTGCCTGCTACTGGTAAAGGATAACTTTCACTGCACACAGATATCTCTGTAAATGATGCAGACTCCTCCCATTCACCCCATATAGAAATTCTTAGCTCCATTGTACCATCATCATTATAGTCCCCCAACACTACATGTTGTTGGGTCTACGTGTCGTTAGGTCTACGTGTCATTGGGTCTACGTGTCATTGGGTCTACGTGTCACTGGGTCTACATGTCATTGAGTCTATGTGTCACTGGGTCTATGTGTCACTGGGTCTATGTGTCACTGGGTCTATGTGTCACTGGGTCTATGTGTCACTGGGTCTACGTGTCACTGGGTCTAGGTGTCATTGGGTCTACGTGTCATTAAGTCTAGGTGTCATTGGGTCTAGGTGTCATTGGGTCTACATGTCACTAGGTCTAGGTGTCATTGGGTCTGGGTGTCACTAGGTCTAGGTGTCATTGGGTCTACGTGTCACTGGGTCTAGGTGTCACTGGGTCTAGGTGTCATTGGGTCTAGGTGTCATTGGGTCTGGGTGTCACTAGGTCTAGGTGTCATTGGGTCTACATGTCACTAGGTCTAGGTGTCATTGGGTCTGGGTGTCACTAGGTCTAGGTGTCATTGGGTCTACATGTCACTAGGTCTAGGTGTCATTGGGTCTACATGTCACTAGGTCTAGGTGTCATTGGGTCTGGGTGTCATTGGGTCTACGTGTCACTAGGTCTAGGTGTCATTGGGTCTGGGTGTCATTGGGTCTACGTGTCACTAGGTCTAGGTGTCATTGGGTCACAAGTTGCTGCTGACTGTCTGATCGGTTCTGTCCACTTCTGTGGGGACAGATTCAATGCATTTGATGATTGCTCATTTCAGGCTCATCCTTTCTCTCAGATTCTGTATTCATGTCTTTCTTGGCTGTCTCTTCTCCTCTACTGAGACATGTGGCATTGGTATTCATGTCCATCCACAACCTTCTGTCTCGTTTACTTTCAATAAATTCTGACACAAATGATCCACCAGGCCGTGATGTCAAACTGTCCAGCATTTTGTCTCTCATTCTCTCTGCCTCTTTTTCTTCCAACTTCTCATCTTCACGATGCATTCCAGTTTTCTCCAGCTATTGTTGCTTGTGTTCACAGGCTGTAAACTTCAAAACAAAGTGCTGCCTAGTCATCCATTTCTAGACTTTGGCTTTGTTCTATCTGAATTTTGCGTGTGCATCTGTTTTACAGATCTGGGCAGTCTGTTATTTCTGCACCTATCAAGTCAATGCACTCCTACTTTGAAGGAATCATCAGTCCTATCTCTAGGACGACTATTGTCAATGATGAACCTTTTGTTGCTGTTGTAGGACTCTTAAGTAAAACACATCCAAATTAATATAGCAGGAGGCTCAGGTTGTGAATTTCACTCACTGAACAATGAGTTCTCCCTAGATGTTTTCACCAAAGCATTGGGGCTGGGCAGTGCCAGTTTGTCTGAAAACTGCATCTCTGGGGGAACTCTTAGATTCCCTGCCATCTCTATTTAGGCTGACATGGACCATTATCCAGGGGCACGAAGTGGATGTGTGGCAGGAAACTTGCATGAGGGGCTGTTAAACCAGCAAAGAGGATGCTGATATCTGAGGTGAGGAAAGGGATATCCCCTTTTACACCATACAATGGCCTTAATTTTCCCTCATGTCTGTGATCTAAATCACTGTACCCCAACTTGCGTTCAAATGAACTTTTTGTTTATCTAAAACATCAATACTCAAGTTCCAACAGTCTGTCAATCAGTCTAACATTAACTTTTCCCTTTATGTAAGATACCTCTCCTAGCTTATTTACCTTTTGTATGTGTTGACCTCAGCTTGTTTATCTTTCAGCCTCTTTTGATAGTTAGCCTGCAGCTCCTCTCTGATTTTCTCCTCCCTCTTTATGACATTTTTCAAATCATCCAGATGAATTTTCAGTTCACTAATTTCTGCAATTTTTACATTCAGTGATGTGCGAAGTTCTGAAATGAAGAACAGGAAGCAATGGAAAAGCTGATAAAGCCTTTAACTCGTTTACTCTTTCTGTGTCCAACCTTGAAAGAGTGATAGGTGTGCTGTGTTAGAGATTACGACTGGACTGCAATATAAGTTTGGACCCAACACATCCGATTTCAACAAACCTTAATTAGTACATTTTATAACATGCTTGTCAGAGACCCAGGAAAGCCATACAAGGAAGACTTGGTGAACCTACATGTATATAAATTTATACAGCAGAAAATTTGATAGAAGATTATCATCCTGTTAACCAGCTGTAAATGCCAACAGAAAATTTGAAAGAAGATTATCATCCTGTTAACCAGCTGTAAATGCCAACAGAAAATCATGTTGTTTTCTTCCAGTTCTGAACTTTGGTCTGGTTCTAGTACTAGAGTTTTGCGTGCACATATATTTTATAAATCTGGCTTATTTGAATGCAGACTGCTAGTTCCTTACCTCTCAGGCAGATACGCTCTGACTTTAAAGGACTTACTTACTTACTTAGCTGATCATCTTCTACCTTGGGGTGTAGAGGTTTGCCAGAGACATCTCCAGACTTCTTTACCAGCAGTTTTCTTTTTGTCTTTGTTCCATTCCAGTCCTCAGTCAGGGACTGTCGGATGTTCTCTTCCCAGTGAACACTGCTCCACCCTGGTGATCTGGTTCCCTGGTTCTTGGCCTCCCAAACCTGCTATAGTGGTCAGCTCTCCCCCATTCTGCATAAATGTCCAAAATCATCATAACTGTGACTGATCCACTTGAGTTTGCAAGGCCTGTGTTTCAAGAAATTGACGTATTGTCTGGTTGCAAACTTTGTCCCTTCTTGACTTCAAAGGAAAAACCCTTAATTAGTCATCTTTTGCAACATGCTTGTTAAGGGGGCAGTGGGTCTATTCCCCCCCCCTCCCCCCTCTCCCAAAGCCCCAGATCCCACGTGGAGAGCTCAGAATACAAAACACAGTTCTGTCCTTAATCAAAATCAGTAAAACAATGACCAACTATCAAATTTGGTAACAATTTTTCAGCACAAATGAACAAGGTCAAGTGTGCTCAGTCTAAATGTAATACCGATTATCCTTCCTGTGTGGGTTCCAGGGCCCCATTGTGTGAAAAACAAGAACAGACCCACTGCCTCCCCAACAAGCATGTTGTAAGAGTCGACTAACTGGAAAATGGGAGGGGGAGGACTTCCTTCAAAGTAGGCAAGAAACCAACAATCTGCATAAAAATAAGTCAGATCTGTGAAATGGATGTGCATACAACACTCAGGTTGTGGAACCAGAGGTGGATGAAGAACCAGAACTTTCCGCCGGAGTTTACAGCCAGTGCACGCGATGAAGAAGAAGAAGAATACCGATAAGATGTTCCAAGTATGACTCATTCGCATCACCTCAATTTGCATAATTTTTCACCGCAACGTCCATGGCCACATTGTTTTCATCTCTTTTTTTTTACCTGTTTGTGCCGTAACATTTCTATTGCAGTTCTTGAAATTACTTTTGGGATCTAAGCCATACCAGTTCTAGTAATGGTGCTAGAATCTTTGATGGCATCTGTACCACAACAGTTCTAGAAATGGTGTTGGTATGTTTAGAATAGTGAATTCAACTGTGGTCAGTTCTACCAGGTTGTTTTTTGGTACTGATGTCCTCTTGTTGGGAAAAAAATTAATTCAAAGTATATGTACACATGCATGCACACACCAACTTAAAACTCATTTTCACATATATTGACAAATAAATATATCAGTTCATAAAAGGGTACACAATAATTTTTTCAATAGCTTGAAATACAGTTCTCTCACCTGAATGTGAAATGTCATATTTCTCCAACTCCTGATCTCTCTCCTCTAGCAACTTCAAATTATACTTGAAATGCTCTTTCAATTCCTGAAATTTGGCTCTTTCAGACAATAACAGACTGTCCTTCTCTTTGCATTCTTTCTCTAAGGCCTCTATCCTGTTTTAAATAGAGCACTTACATCAACAACTCGGAGATGACTTAGTTTACAGAAAAGCAGTTTTTATTTCAGTACCTTTCTCTTGAAGTCAACATCAATCAGCAGATTCTTCACAGAAAGTAGCTTTCGTCAAGGTACATCTAAAAGTCTCTTTATCTCTAGCTCATTCTTCAGGCCCTATCTGCTGTCATAGCTAATGTGTCAAGATACATGTGAAAGTCTCTTTATCTCTAGCCAATTCTACAGCCCCATCTGCTATCATAGCTAATGTGTCAAGGTACATGTGAAAGTCTCTTTATCTCTAGCTCATTCTACAGGCCCATCTGCTAACATAGCTAATGTGTCAAGGTACATGTGAAAGTCTCTTTATCTCTAGCTCACTCTACAGGCCCATCTGCTAACATAGCTAATGTGTCAAGGTACATGTGAAAGTCTCTTTATTTTCTCTACCCCCATTACTACAGGCCCATAACATCTTAAGCTGTCATAGCTAATGTTTTGAGTGACAACGGGACATCCATGTGAAAGTCTCTTTAAAACGGGACTCTAGCTCATTCTACAGGTGAAAACCCTATCTAATATTTTGCTGTCGGGATAGCCAATATGTCAGTGTCTTGAAGTCATCTTCACAGAGATCGGCCTCTGTCTTGTTTTCTGAAACTACCCTCCATTACTAGGGTGACCATAACATCTTGAGCTGAAAATGGGACATCCAGCTAATATTTTGAGCTGACAACGGGACATCCAGCTAACATCTTGAGCTGAAAATGGGACATCCAGCTAATATTTTGAGCTGAAAACGGGATATCCAACTAACATCTTGAGCTGACAATGGGACATCCAACTAACATCTTAAGCTGACAACGGGACATCCAACTAATATCTTGAGCTGACAACGGGACATCCCACTAACATCTTGAGCTGACAACGGGACATCCCACTAACATCTTGAGCTGACAACGGGACATCCCACTAACATCTTGAGCTGACAACGGGACATCCCAAGCAAGTCAGTTCAACCCACCAGTCCCATCCCTGGCCAAAATACCTTAGCTTTCAGGACAGGATGCTGTGTATGAGTGGTTCTCCTATATGATCAGATAATGTACACCTTTTAACACTTAACTATGCCCGGCTTTCTAGCGTAGTTGGCTAAAACGGATTGGGCGGAGACCGGGTGACAAACTCCTTGTGGTCCGGGTTCAATCCCGGGGGTAGGCAGGAAAGCCAATTTCTCCCAGATTTATGGTATTTACAATGGAATCAAGGCCGAAAGGTTGCGATATCCATAATACCGAGCCTAAGGTTTTAACAACTCATGGCTTCTGGATACTAAAACAAACAAACAAACAAACAACACTTAACTATACAGTGATAGATTTAATTACTTATACACAAACATTTATCTTTACTGTCATAAAAAAATTAATAATTAACTATTTAATTGAATTAATTGTGCAAATAATATCATTTTTTCAGTTAAGCATAATGAAAACATGGCTGACTGTTTAAAATTGTAAACAAACAAAAATAGTTATTATTTACCTTGACTCTAAGATTCCTCTCCACTCTTTCTCTTTCTGTTCTGCCAACACCTTCCATGATACAGAATCAGCTTTATCCATCCTCATATTTTCTGTTTAAGATTGTCATGAGTGGTATGATTCTAAAGAAAGACACAAAATCTGAAAGGAAAAAGAAAAGACACAAAATGTGAGTGGAAATTTTAACGTACACTGAGCTAGAAGAACAGATAGAAAATTTCAATAAGATAATCAGAGTAGAAAAAACGAAACTGAAATAAGTTAATAGAGATAAATGAAGTTGCTTCAATGTTTTTTACAGCACAATGTTAGGTTTTGAAAAGACATCAGAGCCATGGTATGTGCTACATAGAGGCTGGTATTCACGGTCTCGGACATTCATTGCTTGTCTGGTTGACCTCCATCCTACTTCCATTGTGTCTTCTTCTTTCTCTTCATGTTCACAGGCTGAAAACTCTGGCTGACAGTTCAATTTTTACCCACTTCTGAATTTTAGTTCTGTTTCAGGGCTTGAGTTCTGCATGCCCATCCATCTTATTTGTATGCAGACTGTTGGTCCCTCACCTTAAAGACAGATGGATGCTGAATGAAACACCCTAATTAGCTGATACGCTTGTTGGGGGTCAGTGGGTCTATCACCTCTCCCCTCCCCCCATAATAAGGCCCTAGTATCCACATGTAAGACACATATGTTTAATGCAATCTAGAGTATAAGAAAAATGGCACGGCATCGTACAAAATAGACAGATCAGATGGTGCCAACAATTTATTTCTCTCTCCTCTTGCTAGAGAACAAAGGTGGCCTTTCGGAAAAGTTCCCAAAGGTGTAATAAAGAAAAAAAGCAAAGATACTTAACTATGCCATATATTTGATTTTATCTCTCCTGATCTGCAAATTTATTATTTTTATGCCCATATTTTGTTGGCTTTCTTCTTCATGTTATTGTGGTTTTCAGCTAGCCGCGACATCTGCAATTTCGGTATAATTAATCCAATTTCAGCAAATGCCTAATAAGTCATCAGCTATACAAGCAAATAAAATAAAGGAAGCTGCAGGAGATGCGGTAGCTGCTGCTTGTCCCAGCCATCTAGTTTAGCCACGTAGCGGCTTGGAAGATACTCCCAGCAGTGGCGGTAGTCGCCGGAAGTGCGCAATTTACATGTGGCTGAGGCCCTGTACTGTTAGGGTGTGTTTTGGCCGCCATAATATGTGCCCGTTATTCGGAGAATAGCCAAGTCGTCTTTTATGGTATGCTTGGGAAGGAGTAATGTCTCTATTCTTTTGCCTTCAAAATGCGGTTCCAGAACACGCATTGGAGTTGTTGGTTCTGAAATAAATTTTGTAAATCTACAATGCTGTCTCTTGTACAAATAAACACATTATAATCATGCTGAATCTTGCACTTTTTCAGGTTGCCGTAGTTTAATCAGTCTTGAAACTAAAAACTGATTAAACCAACAGGTTATCTTTTGTACATTCTCAGTAACTATTTCGATATCGTAGTTTCTTTAAGGTCAAATTTATTTTCAAATAAAGTAATGATGGACAACATACAACTGAATGGTTTACTTTCATGGCTAAGTATAAAAAATTCAAACATCGGTGTCCGCCATGTTGGCGTCACAGACCTGACAACCACTCTTCAGTCTGCGAAGCGTAGATTGGGAACGTGAAAAAGAAACCGGAAAATGTAATTTGTTGAGAGACCAAAGGTGCCGGACAGGATTCGATCCATGATATCAAAAAGATTGCCTGTTATAAACGGAATAGACGAGTAGAATGCGAGCCCTGTGTGTCGTATTGGAGATTCGGAACTCTGCACTGGCTGCTGAAATTGAGGACGGAGCATGCATGGAAATGGCCCGAGTGCTAAGATGTCAATTCTTGACTCATTATGCCGAAATTGCAGATTTCGCGGCCAGCTGAAAACCACGTTAACACGAAGAAGAAAGCCAACAAAAGATAAGGCATAAAAATAATAAATGTGCAGATCAGGAGAGATAAAAGCAAATATATGGCATAGTTAAGTATCTTTACTCAACCGTATGTGTCGTATAACAACAGGTTGATATAACTGGTTTGAAGAGCAGTATGCGTACAAAATGGAGGTGTACAGTGACCTCGTCTCCAGTCTGAGGAATGAGGAGGGGTCACGGTAACAATCTTCGCTGTAGAGGTAGGCACAGGAGGACTGGTTTCCGACTCTGTGTATGACCGTAAAGCAGCTAGGATACGTGGCCCATCAAGAGCACGAACAGTAAAGACGTTGGGCGAAGCAGTGGAGAAAACCTCATGCTGTTTACGGAACACGTGCAACGAAGTGTCAGGGGGGTCACGACAGACTATCACGTTTCTCGTCCTGTAGAACAATAAGCAACTCATGCTCTCACAGTCTAAATCAGCTAACAGTGTTGTTTAACGAACTAACAACAACCTCTAAAGTTGTGACGACCAGTTAGGGGTGAGTGTCAACAGCGGTGAACCCATGTTTCATTAGTGGCAAATCAACTGTGCACAACAAACTACCTGGAGTCGCGCTTTGTCCCCATCTTTAGCAGCCAGCGCAGAGTTCTAGGCACACCTTCGAACGGCGACCTTATGGGCTCGCACAATGTCGTAAGTTAACTTTACATTCAAGTACCGACCCTAGGGGACGTAATCCATTCTTTGTTTAAGCTCACAATCTGAACAGGATATTTTTGAAAAAAACTACTACTACTACTACTACTACTACTACTACTACTACTACTACTACTACCACTACCACCACCACCACTACTACTACTACTACTACTACTACTACTTCTACTACGACTACTGTGGCTTAGTCGATGCGAACGCTTCGTAATGCCGGGATGCCGGGTTCAATCTCAGCTGCGGGCCATGCGCTTTGTGTTGGTTTTAACAGTTGTATCAAGGAAACCGACCGTCCAGATAGCAATGGCAAACTACTAGACGTAAATTTGCCTAGAAAAACCACACAACAGGGCCTGTTGGGGTTGGTTCTGCAGCGTCCTGTAAAGGATACGCAACTAACTAACCTTAACTACTACTACCACCGCCACCACCACCAAACTAGTCCCTAGCCTTGGCTGGCAGCAAGTGTAGAAGGGAAGTTATGACAGCGCCTCTGATCGGGCAACTTCTGCAGCAAGCTTTGTTGCAATCAAACCTTTATCCTCTTGTGGGATGCAATTGTTCATTTTTTTAAGCACCACTCTGGCTCTTGCCAACGGCCGCAAAATAGCACGGCCATAAATATGACCTAATGGCTGAATGCGGTTTCTGGGACCTCTCCACGGGTGATCCTCATCCACATGGTGGCACTTTGTGTCATCGGGTGTTTATCGCTTGTGTGATGTCCTGGTGGGGTAGAAAGTCAGTCAGTCAGTCATTCAGTCAGTCAGCCAGCCAGTCAGTCAGTCAGTCAGTCAGTCATTGGTGGTACAACTTGTTATCCCTGGGGTAAAATGCTGTAAGTACAATCCTACTACTAACTGGTGTTACCTCTTCTTTGGGGTAAACAAGGTAGACGAGATAGGGAGTTTGCAGCATGGGCAATACCTGTTCCCTAAAATAATTAATGCCCAGTCTTTGTGTATGGAGTCAAAGAACTTCATTCTTAACTTTAACTGGTCTCGGAAACAAATCCAAATCTAGCGCTTATTGATTATAGGTCCTCGTTAATTGGCGTAGGCGAGAGCGCCACTGGCTGCTTATTGGCGGTTGGGGATATTTTCAAGTATCACTGATCAGCTACCGTCCGCGTCAAGCTGGTCAGCGGCCAGCCAGTAAGGTGTTTATCCGCCACAGTCGTTAAGCTTTAATGGGTGCTTGAAACTATCGCAAACAAACTTCAAACTTCGTCTTGCAATATGGAAGACAAAGACCATATGCCCTACGCTTTCCACTGACCTGGTCACATTTGAAATCCTCTATGGTAAATCACAGATGGATAACATAACACAACCCTGGGCCCGCTAGGGTCGTGGAGGTGTATTGATAGAAGCACTAGCGCAAAAAACCCGCCATCTTTGTATTCTGCTTGATGAATAAGTGAACGATAACTTAGTCCTTTCTTGATACCACTGTCAAAGGCCCGCAGCTGGGATCGAACCCGTGATCCCGGCATTACGAAGCGTTCGCATCGACTTAGCCACAGAGCCGGCATTTAAATAAATATTATTGTGACATTATTATGTTCTTCCCGGAAGGTAGTTTCCGTATTGCCTTTATCTTGTCTATAAAGTAACTGATAACATTTCTGACAGAAAGATCTATAACAACTGATAATTCACATTTTTACCTCCTCTCAATGCCTTTACTGACTGTTTTTTTTTTTTTTTTTTTTCAGAAGTTCCCAAGATAATTGTCGGTACCCTACCTTTCTCCAAAACTGTGTTTGTCAGTTCTTCAATCACCTGCAGTGTTAAAAAATATCTACTTCTAAAAGTAGACTAAGCCACATAATTTATAACAGTATTATGTATAGAAACTATGGGCCCTTTATTGTGGAGATGGTGCCTGATTACTTAAATAACGTCTTGGAGTTTAGTGGACAAGTCTAACATAGGGTGAATATACGTTCCTTCGTCACCGGTACAGTTGCCCCTTTTTTTAGGTGTGCCACGGCCGTCTCTTTCGTACTCCGAAAAAAACAAAACATTGCCTTGTTTAAAGAAAAAAAAACATTGCCTTGTTTAAAGAAAAAAAAACATTAGGAATTTGCTCTAGAAAACATAAACGCTTGTCATACATGAGATATGTTAATGGTATTTTCATTATAACATGGTTTTCGTTAATTTCTTGGCGACAATGATAAGGATTTAGTACAAATGTAGAAATAACCCTTTCAGCCCGGTGACCTAGAAAAAAATTGAAATGGGTTTAAAGTGACTTGCCGGGGATTTCCCGTTTTCAGTTCAAAAATATTAGTTATATGTTCCGTTTTCAGCTCAAGATATGGCAGAGGGTTGGGGGAGGGGGGGGGGCAGATTCCTTTTAGATTTTCTATGTAGTTAAGGCCTCAAAAAGGGTAAGCTTTGTTTCGCTGCCTAATAGTTATTATTATTATTATTATTATTAT